CAGAGTGACGAGCTTTTATAGTTGCTATTGGTTGATTAAGAGCTTTTAACTTGGCTATGTTTATCTCTGCAACACTAGACTTGAGATAGGATAGTCTTATTGATGACATTTCAAATTCCTGGATATTTGATACACGGTCTGGAGTTCTTGACAGTAATGTATGCCAATCAGCTGGTGTGGATTCACCATTACGTGCTCTGAGAAGAAGATCCCTAAAAAGGTGCTGCTCACTACTGTTACCATCAACTCTGTGGTTAACTGTCAATGCAACTACTTTGTTAAACTGTTGATACATGAGATGACCCTGAATCTGCTTATCTGTTTTGGGCATTGAATGGTAAAGTGGTTTATCACCAACAGGGGGTAACTGTGCTATATCACCCACAACAATAACCGAAAGACCACCAAAACTCTGATTTGCCAGGCCTGTAGCTTGTCGGCATCTAGAATCTATCCAGCCAAGCAAACTCTGACCAACCAAAGAGTATTCATCTATTATCAAATACCGAAGATTTTCTACATTACTTTGAAGCTGTTGTAGTGCTATTCCTTTTAGTTCAGTGAGTCTTTTTGAGCCAATTGGCAATTTGAGAAATGAATGCAAAGTTACACCATTCACATTAAAAGATGCTTTTCCAGTGTACGCTAGCACCTTGCATTGTGTTTGGAGTACATTTCTAATGGCGTCAATGAGATAGCTTTTCCCTGACCCTGCAATACCTTTAATTAGAGAAGTATAGGTTCTTTGTCACTTCTGTTAAAGTGATCACAAACTACGTTGTATGCCAATCTTTGGTTTGTACTAAAGCTTGAAATATCTACTATCCTTGTTGGCATTTGCCACTGAGGATTATTCATAGATTTTTGATTCGCTAACCAAGATACTACAGAATTTAGTTGCTCTTCATCAAAGTGTTCAGTAACATTGTGCCAATATCCCTCAGGAGCTAAGACAGAACTTTGTGCATCATTAGTAATGTTTTGAATATTCAACTCAGACATTAACATCCATTCTTCCTTTTCCTCTTCTTCATCATTTTCTGTTGTAAAATTGTCAGTTTCTAGCTTAATAGATTCCTTTAAGGCTTGTAACTTGATTTCCCAGTCAGGAACTACAGCCTTTCCATTGTTACTACAGAGAAAATTCATCCAACATGTTTTGAATGTTTCATTACAGTGTTCAGCATTACTCCAGGCATCATCTGGTGTATGCTCCCAAGGTTTATACTTAAGTAGTTGATATTTACAAAAAGCCCATAATGCTGATTTTGAGGATTTGATGAATAGTTTGGATATGTTTTAACAATTACTGGTCGTTTTCTTTTCTCTAGTTTTGAACCTTTATTAATATATGTAGATGTAAACTGTACAAAGTTGCATTCTAGTATACTTGGAAATGTTTTCATGTATTTCCTTCGCTCAGCATATATATCGAGCATGGATGGGGCAGTACAATATTCCTTATCTCTTACAATTTGAATTCTTCTTGAGCCATCTAGAGATGCATTTATTACTTCATAAGTAGCACTTACACACTTAAGAGAGAGTAAATGATGCATGACCTCTTGAATTGAATAGTCCCTTTGTCCTACAGATTTGATCATTATCTGCTTAAATGTGTTATGAATGTCACTTGTGTCTGAAAGCTTCTGAACAATAGTGGTGAATGCATTATTAACAACGGAAGATGCTTTTTCCCCTTTGGATGTGTACTTAACAAGATATTCTAAACATGCCTGGTAATCCACAATAATTTGGATATCACAATTTGCCCTCCATCCTTGAAGCTGCAATGGTTGATGACGATTTAATCTTGAGTCATTTCGTTTAGTAACAATAACTGCTTTATACTTTGGTTGACCTGATTTTGTATGGACAGGTTCAAAATCTATCCTTGTTTTTTTTACAGTTATCAAATGGAAAATTAAACCTGCAGCATAATTCGCAACCGTCTTTTTTCCCTAAGGCAATACTTAGTACTACACAACGTATGCCTTTGAACAGAATTCAATAGATTCACATAGTCATCTTCCATTTTCTCTTCTTTTAAGGAAAGATATGGTGTTTGACATGGATGAGAATTTGGCTTGGACCAACCTTCATCTGGAGAACAAGGATTCCATGTCGTTAATAAAAATTGACATATTGGCAAACAGTTGCCTCAGCATTTTCCCCCCTTTTCTCCTTATTTTTCAGTTCTTGTAGTTCTTCAATTGATATATTTGCTTGGTGTTCTTTGATATATTTTGATGCCAAAAAAACCCTGCAGTGCAACTGCTGTAAGTTCACAAAGCCCTGGATCATTCTGCAATTTTGCAACTCCGTGACAATGAATCGATCCCTCTGAACAGCATATTCATATCGGTACCAATACCAAGATGCCTGTAATGATTTATTCAGCCAAAACTTCACAAACCGATCAGTTCGCTCAGTGAAAAACCAGTCAATGAGATGTGGATTGTCAATAACATGTTTCTGTCTCAATTTTGGTGTGATATCTCCACAGTGGTCATTACTTAGAAGATTATGAAATTCTGGCCAATGGTACTCTGCACAAGACAAGGTAAAAAAAAATTGTAGGAGGTCCTACTTGAGCAACGGTAGCCCTTAAATCCTCTTTTGCTTTGTGCCAATAGCTATTGCTACCAGTTATATTTTTAGCATAATGCATAAGTTTAGACATTAAAGTTGAATGATTATTTGACTGAAGCATCTGTTTAAGTTGTTCCACAGTTAGTTTTGCATCGCTAGGGTTTTGTTTCAAAAAAATACTCCCTTGACTAAGAAGTCTATGCCTCTGAATCATATTAAAAGCCCAATATGCAAATCGTGGATGGCTTGCAAACCTATAAGTCCACTCATCATTAGAATATTCAGCAAATTTAATTAGATGCTTTATTTTCTCTCCTAAAGTTGCACCCGCTTTATAGCAGTGTTTGTAGGGTCTCCTTTAGCATCAGGAAATAGGGTGGGAAATGCCATTGTTGCTAGAAATTGATCTTAAATTCATTCAGAGGGCTTGCGTCTCTGTGTGGCCAATTTAATTTATGCTTTTGCAATAACTGATCTGTAATAAGTTGCTTTTGAGGCTTTAAGGTTACTGGATTAAGGATTGTGCTGCTTAATTCTGTCTCTTCATTGAATGGTATTTCATTGACATCAAGTGGACCTCTGTCTGGATCCATTTCCTTATCTTTAGTATTCTCAATACAATCAATCTGATGCAGTTCACTTGGGATGCCTTCAGATGGCAAGGAAGACAAGCAGTCATAATCTATAGTAATATTTTTGTATACAGGGTTATGCTGGACTAACCAGTGTAGAGCACAGCTCACTTTTTCCCCCTTTACTGTAAGATCTTTATAAGTATTATCTTTGCCTTTGACTGACACAACTATCACAGGCAGCTCCCTCGGATACCTTGGCAATGAGTTAGCTAGCTCTTGAATATCTTGGGAAAAATTAATACAGTGGCCTTTGTATGCCTTTTGCCCCCTGGTTTTGTATAAACAGATATTACTGGAAATACACGTGCTATAAGCATTTCTTCTAATTGTGTGAGTCCCTGCAGTTCTTTTGGTGCTTGTGAAGGTATCATATTATTGTCAACTGAAAACTTTTTTGTTGCATTCTTGTCACGCAAACACCTAGAGCACACATATGTAGATTCATCTTTACATTTTTTTCTGACAATGGCCATGCTTCATGGCAGATGTTGCATTTATAGATTTTGAATTTCAAAGAATTATGGAAATCTCGCATGTTTTTTTTTAGCCCATTCCTGTAAATGAATTGGTCCATTTGTTTGACTATCAAACAAAGACAAATATTTTTCCTTCTCCACAAAACATTTAAATACATTTTGATCTGCTTGCATTTTAAAATCACTGTTAACACTTTTTGCATGATTTTCCATGATGTCTGTATTTTTTTTTCTTCTCTAATAAGTTTTGCTTGCATTTTAAAATCACCATGAACACTTTTTTTGCATGATCTTCTTTCATTACTGTATTTTGTTCTTCTTCTCTTGAAATTGTTTTGCTACCAGTTGCAACGTCTTTCTTTCTGTTGTTGTATTCCTTCATGTATATATTTTGCTTTTCGTCGTGTAGTAAGTTTCTCACTATGAAATTCATTGTTTTTCTTTCTCCTTCTGTACTCTTTCATGTAAGCATTTTTCTTCTGTTTTAGGCCAAGTTGTTTTTCACTTTTTTCATGATTTTCCTTCATGTTTGTATTTTGTTTTTCTTCCGTTGCAAATTTTTTTTGGTATCAGTTTCAATGTTTTTCTTTCTCCTGTTGTATTCCCTCATGTATATATTTTGCTTTCCTTGTCTAGCAAGCGTCTCACTTTGAGATTCATTATTTTTCTTTCTCCTTCTGTACTCTTTCATGTAAGCATTTTGCTTTTTGTTTTTGGCAAGTTGTTCTTCTGCAGTTTCATTACTTTTTCTTTTCTTTCGATATTCTTTCATGTATGCATTTTGTTTTGCTTGTGCAATGTGTTTGTTTGATGGCACTGTTAAAGTATCATTAATGAGTACTTTTGGCACTGAATGTCCTGTGAGGTATTCTTGGGTGTACTTAGATTGGTTCACAGCTGCATGTGCATTACCGCTATCAATGAATGGAATGGCAGACTTTTCATAGACAGCAAAATACCAGCCATTGGCATGGGCAATCAAGAGGTTTTGAAAAGTGGAATATTGCTGAATTGATCTGCAGATATCATCAAAATACAACCAATGTGTTCCTTTATTTATAGCGATAGTAAAATGTTGACTTGCAGAACGCACAACAGCTTTCAGTGAATAATAATTTTCTAAAACGTCCATAGTTAAAGGAAATGTAATTTGATCAATACAATTGGATGACAATTCAATAGTTAAAAATGTGGGAAGTGTTACAAAATGTCGCAATGCAGAAACATCACCACTGTGTTTTTGGCAAGATTCACAATAAAGAGCCCTACTGTGAGGAAGAACAGCTTCTGAAACATGATTTGCAAATTGCGTGGAAATGATATTTGGGCAGGTAATGTAAAGAACAAATATACCTGTCTTATATATGATTTGGTTGCCACATGATGCGCAACACGACTGATTGCATTGCTGAACAACAAACAATGACTTGAGGTCCTCACTTAACTCTCCGACAGTATTCAATGTAAATATGTCACTAAAAACAGCATTGGCAGTCATTGCAGAAAATGATGAACAATGATCTCTGAGCCATAACCACACAGGTTCTCGCACAATGTCAATAGCCCCAAGGTTTTCTCTTTGATTACATGACTCATAGATAACGTCAAAAACTCATTTCGTGTAGTGCTATGAAGATGATTACAAAAAACACCATAACACAGCTCGAGAAAACAATCAACTGCACAGGAAAATTTACCTGCATTGTTTAAACAATAATTACTGAAGTGATCTCTACCAAATGAATAGCTGTTTTCCTCACACATTTTTGCAGCTTCCAAGTTATTTATGTTTCCATTTAATATGTGTGCTTCTTTATTAGAAATTGCAAAGGGATTAAAACTACCATTAGAAGGATAAGGTATACGTCTAGACAAATATCTTCCTCGGAATCTGAAAATGGTTACATTTTGATATCCACGTGGAAAATTGAAATTAGTCTCACCACTATGGCCCTGATAATGACTTACGACTAATAACACACACAATAGACGAAGCATCATAAATTCTCGTGAGCTGTTACTTCAGTGCACGCGCTTCAGCAAGTGTACTTTGGACCTGAGCAGTTCTGATTTCAAACGAAGCTAAGCACCCTACAATTTTGGAATAAAAAACTATCCAAACTGATTTGCTAAGCTCCCTCAAGCTTGACTGATAGTGGCTTCCCGGCAAACAGAGCTTAGACTGTTTTTCACTTTCGGACACGCTAATGGATAAGCAGAAAAAAGCGCACAACTAACAGCGACACGCCATGTGACTCGTGTCTCGTTGGTCGATCAAAATTTGTAATTTTGAGCACTGAGCACACTAGCTCGATAAAAGAGGCTTTATACGCCCTCTGATTGAGTTTATAGTGAATATATTCAAGTGGTTTTGTTTTTTGTTTCTTAAATGGCACGCTGGCCGATCTGGTCAAGACAATTGACTGTTTTGGCAAGCTCGCCGTGACTGTGACACTGTCACTCGCCGTTTTCGAGCTGCTCTCGATAACTGCCTCGCTGGGCGATTTTAGCCTCGCTGGGCGATTTTTCAGTCTGCTAGTTGCTAGATTTGCGACCCCGGATCCAAAAAACACTTAATTAAAATGCACCCAAGAAGACAACGCTCACGAGTGAATAAAATCAATATTTCCACTCACCTTTTCCTGCCTGGTAATTGATCACCTCGCAAGTCGCACGATGCCCAACACGAACAGGAGATGCCGGGATACACCAGAAAATGCCCACGAGGTTAATGTGGTCATCTGATGTTGGTCATGTGGTCACCGGTCATGATCGTCCTGATGTGATTGGTTTAGATTAAAAAATACCACGATGCCATTGGCTAGCTCGAAAACAATGACCGATGATGTCACTCTTACATTACCTTATGCTTACATTTTGATTCGAGATTTTTTCTCCCTGTACCAAAACTAACTCGCGCGTCGGATTTATGATGCTGCCGCCTCGTCACCCTCGCGTCCTCGCGAGGGTGACTCGTTGGCAATAAATAAATATCTGGCTCGACTCTGCCGTCCTATTCGACTGAGCTTGTCGAATAGAACGGCAAAAGATCGATTTCGATTATCACATGTGCCGAACCTAATGCATAAATTACGTTAACGTATTTTTCAATATAACCGCGCTTCTGATTGGCTATTTAGTGGCTTTTCGCACCTTTGCGGACAGAACTCACAGAAGCGTAACGACGGTTACCAGCATTCACGTTGTAGATTTTTAGAATGAAACTGGACAGCTCAAAACGGTCTTTTAAGAAGTTGCTTTTCTTTATATCCATAAAGAAATCGCGTATGTATTTTAAAACAGTTTATGGCGTTACTTTATTTAGTCCAAAGACCACGATCACGATCTCCTCAGCTGTCTCCTTGCCATAACAGAACACAAATTACACTAAAATCAAAACAAGAATATTCAGGCTTGGTGACTTTTACTTTTTTCAGTAAATTTCCCTATCTTAAGCAGTAAGGATGATATTTCTTTTCGCCTCGAATTAGGTTCGGCACATGTAAAGTTCGACGTTTGAACCCCGGGGGGGGGGGCACTGCCATATATGGGCTATATAGGTATGTGCCGCTGTGAAGGGTATGGTTTTCAAGCAGTTTACTCTAGGATAGGGTATATAAATCAGAGCGTTTGGGTCTAGAATAGGGTATCATTTTTCAGGAAACTGATCAGTTGGTTGAAGATTTTACCTAGACTAGGGAAACAGCTACTCTAGGATAGGGGGGATTTGGGCAGTTTACTCTAGTATATGGTAGCAAAATTCAGCTCAACTAGCTCTGGTAAAGGTTAAGGGTTCTAGGGTCCCAGCGGCACACTCCCACCCAAAATTCCTAAAGTACCCCCCCGGGGTTTGAACCCGGCTAGACTGCAAAACAGTCGGTTTTTTTCCTCAGAATCAGTAAAGAAATCGGTAAAGCGTGGCGTAAGAGTCTTACGCGCGCGTCTCTCCCCAGTCTCGCTCTCTGTCTTCAGCCTCATTCCAGACCTTTTGTTTGACTGCTTTTCGCGTACTTGAATACGCAAAAATACGGACTGTTTTGCAGTCTAGAACCCGGCGGGCCTTAGGAAGAAAATAATGCTGGTTTGACATCCATGTGACAGTCCCATATATCTAGTCTGAACAAAAGATCATGGCTTCATGGAGAGATCACAATAAAATATGAAAATACAATCTTTATTGTATTATCTTTAAAAATCTTCCGTTGAAAAAAGTTACTTTGGCAATGATGACTATTCTCAGCGTCGCTTTTTTTTTGTACTTTACTAAAGTTCATGCAAGGTGACAACGTCCAGGCCAGGTCGAGAACACAAAATCAGGAGGGGGCGGCGAAGGGGGCTTCACCATGGCATGATATCACGTGATTCATGAGCTGCTGTTGATTGGCTGTAGCTTAGTAGGATGTCTCGTACCTGTCTCGTGATTATCACATTGCTCTGAGCACTACAAATTTGCATACTTTCTTCCCCGTTTGCTACCTGTGAGAAGATCTACAGCGGTAAGAATAATTTGAAAATGGCCCCTACATTGGCGGTTTTTGTACTTCTTGTAGCTTCGGGTAAGTCTTTGTAACGCCTCAAAACGCTCTTATACAAAACTCTTTCGCCTAGAAAGTGAAGTTTTCCTCTAAGCATCGTGATTTCGCTTCCTTGTGCATGCAGCTTTGTGGCAAAACCTTTGACATATAAAGCTAGTGGTAGGTTTTAGGGCAAACTTCCAACTAAAGAAATTTTACTTTCCTTAAGATTCGCTAACATACGTTTTGTAAATAGTCCTCTACCGTAAATAGTTCTCTACGTTTTTTAAAAACTATAAAGATTCTCATATTATATTATTTTCATCCAGATTGGATAGCACCTTTCAGTTGCCACACGAAAGTCAAGAAATATTTTAGAAACCTTATATGTTTGAGCGATCCGCTTCAGCTTATATCGATGAAATTTTTTTTCTCCTTCTTCTTATTCTTTAGAAAAAGGAAAGTGTAGCTGCCTCCGCCTTTTTTTTTCAGTCAGCTAACTTTCTTCTGTGTTTTGAAGTTAGTAGTTTCATGTTTGGAAGGAACCATAAGCGGAAGAACTGTTATGTACATGTATGTTGTAGGTCAAAATGAAACCCAGGTGAAATTGGTTTCAACAAGAAGGTTGATTCTCAGTTTTTTTTCAAAAATTACAGTGTTTTTCTGCAGACAAATGTTATTTCTCATAGTCCCGGTTTGACATTGGTGCAGGGTGCTCCAAAACAGGATTTTCGCTAAGAATTCTACAGAAACAGTTGAAAATTGACTTCAAATTACTGTAGAGTAATATTACTTCTGTTAAGATGTAACTCATTCCCAGACTCAAAATTCGCGTTGATAATGGCATAATCACAAAAGTCCAAAAACAACAGTGCTGTTGATATGTCTTTTCTTGTGTGGTTTTGATTTTACAATCTTTTGACATTTTGTAATAAGTTTCGTGGAATATCTAAAACTCCCAACAAAAGATAAGAAAGAAATCCCTCAAAAAGCAGATTCTAAAGTGCATGACAAGGCAAATTTTTCAAAATGGCAAGTTGACTGGCCTTGGTTACTAGAAGATAGCGTTGTTTCCTTTACTATATTAAATTTGTTTTACCTCGGGTTGGTTGGAGGTATTTGACGGGTAACAATTAGTTTGGGCAAGTACAGCCTTAACAGTACTGGCCCAGGTGGCGAGTGTTTGAAAAATTAAGCTTCCAATGTGGCTTATCCACTTTAAAATCATGCTCATCTCTTAGACTTTGCCCCTCTTCATAATAATGACCTTATTTCAACAGTAAGTACTCAAGCTATTAAGTTAGTTGTGCAGTTTTTGTGGGGGCAACTGTCATTTGCTGGTTAAATTGTGAAAATGCAGGGCCAAAGTCTACTTCAAAGATTGAAAAACAGCAACTGTTATTATTAGCAGATAATAGTCATAGGACTTCAGCATGACTAGTGATGAAGGGATAGTTAAATATACAATCAACTCTCTCTTAGTAAACAGATGCATCTTAATAGTAGACACCCAAAATGAACATCCACTGAGTTGGTTCCTATCATTGACCCCTCACAAGGTGGGCACCTCTGAGATGAAGACTTCTTTCCCTTGACTTAATTTTTCAGAATTGGAATTCTGTCTTTCTTTTTCAAGCCCTGCAGAACAGTGCTGACCATATTCTAAATCACTGTGTGCCTAAACTGTGTAGTTACTTTCCTGCTCTATGCTTTGTAAAACCATCTTGTGAGATGCTACACTTACAACTGCTACGGGGCCATAACATTAGTTTATAAATTACTAGTCATTATGTGCATAAATTTTGGGCTGCCTGGGCACTCTTGGAACAGCTAACACGATTTGGTGAGGAAACAAGAAAAACAACAACAGAGTAATGAAATTTGAGGTTTCGAAGAGTTCCGTGACAGTTTTAAATTTTGCATTTGATGTCCTTTTTTCAGTTGCTGCAACCCCCTTGGGACAAAGCAAGTGCTCCTGGGGTCCATCTTATTGGTGCCAGAGCTACAAACAAGCTGTTGAGTGTAAAGCATTGGAGCATTGCCGCAGTAAAGTGTGGGCTGTCAAAGATGATGTAATTATTTTGTTAATAGCTGTATAGATATTATTATAGCTACATTAAGCATCTTGGCTGAATGCTCGGCAAAGAACAGTTATGAGTAGAAAGTGAGTTTGATCCAAAGTTTTTAAAAAAGAACACTTATTATGCCGTATACGTGTTTAACTGAGCTGGTCGGAGGAAGTTTCATCTCAGAATAAAGAAGAAAACAAGACCCCTAAAGTCGTTCCTGTGAGATGCGTTGATCTTTGGAAGCATAATGGCGTTCTGTCTAGGTTAATGGAACAAAACAAAACAAAACATCCGCTTGCTTTATCCAGGGTCGAACCCAGGGTTACAGAGTTCGATAAAGTTCCAATGTTTTAATCCAAGATGAAAGTTTAATATTCCAAGATGCTCTTGATACGGTTAAAAATTAATTGCAATGTGTTTCCAAGGTCTCAAAGTTAACGTAGTTCCAATGATTATCCCTGATTCCAAGGTGTCACAAGTTTACTAAGGTCCACTCCTGATCCGTGTCCCATCCAGAAGTCCAGTCCATGCCAAAAGCGAGTCTTTGATCGATGAGGACAATATTTTCGCGATTTGAACGCCAATCGTCAAGGGTACGAATTGAAATTTACACGATTTAACCTCCCATCGTCAAGGTGTTTTCGATAAGAAAAGAAAAAAACTGAACTCTAGCTGTGCTCGGCAAAAACTGGCGAACTCCGAATAGAAAAATCTATCGGAAATCATGGCCCACAACCAGACGCTACTAAAACCTTATGAAAAAGCTAGACCTAAACGAAAAAGAATCATGAAGGAAAGAAATAATTTGGCAATTACTGGCATATTACTTTACTGTGAGGAGCAAGCCAAGAAGGTGTGTGATATCTAAACTGCAATTAGCAGTGTATGTACCGTTTATTTAGTGGTTTTGTGCTTTGCTCTGCTCATCTTATTATAAAATGGTCATAAAACACGCTTTTTTACGAATGGCAACTAAAGAACTAGTGCGTTTTGACTTTTGAAATGATTAGTTGGCTGTAAAGAAACCTGTTTTACCTCAAGGTGGGCCTTGGCCAAATTTTTTTGCCTTCTTAAAAGTTGCAGTATGTTATTAACCTTGATGATACAGTTGACTCCCGATAACTCAAACCCTCGCTAACTCGAACCTCGCCCTAACTTGAACCAAAATCTATTTCCCTTGGATTTCCTTCTTACATTTACTGTAATTTTACCCTCAGTGACTAGAACCCTCAATAACTCAAACCTCGTGCTAACTCGAAGTAATTTTTTTGTTTCCCTTCAGCTCATTTCTTTACAATGTTACCCTCGATAACTCGAACCATGTTATAAGCGTGTGACAAGTCGGGAAAAAAACCATGTACTGAAGTCCTATTTATTGAATTTATTTCAAAACAACCTAGTCAATTCTTTGTCTTTACTTTTTTGTCACTCCAGTTCAAATTCAGTATCCACTCCTGTATACTTTGTTGCTTAATTGCCTTTCCTTTCCATCCATTTGCTTGTTTCCTTACTTCCGGTTATCTGCTTCAAACTCCCGATAACTCAACCTTTTTTCGATTTCCCTTGAAGGTTCAAGTTATCAGGAGTCAACCTTGCTTATGACATTTTCATTTCGAGCAAAACTTGGCAGCACTAGTAGGCCTTGCTAGACTTATTTAATCACAGATTCCTCACAATTTTGTAAGAATTCTAAGCCTTTCTATTCTTTTCATTTTAGACCGCATGCGAGATTTGTGAACTGGTCATACCTCAGATCAAAGAATTCTTATCACAAAATGCCACCCAGGTAACTGTGTTAGTCTATTTACTCTCTTTTTTTATATTTAGTTAAAGTGTAATAAGTAAATAACTTAATGGTGTTTTCATTGCCTGCAATACAAAGAGTATAGTACAATGTATGTTTATTCAACAGTTTATTTTGTATCTAATTGCAGGAAGAGGTTATATCTGTGTTGGAGAAAACTTGTGATGATCTTGGACCTGCACTTTCGGGAATGGTGATCGAATATCTTACCATGTTTAACTAATCTTTAACCCTTTCTCACAAGTTAAGATCGCATTATGGTGGTACTATTATTAAGTCAATGAAACTTTTAAATTTGTGGATAAAATCCATGGGTGTTGCCTATTTATTGAGGATACCTCTTTGGGCGAACATTTACTCAGTACTATTTACTTCTTTGGATTTTAAATTTTTTAGAAATTCACTGTTAAGATTGAAAGGGTTGAGATGGTGCTGGACCTAAGTTAGGATATTTGCCATAATATTATAACCAAGGCAGTCCCTCTTTGCTGCAAACATGATCATCATATAAAAAGCTCGTCTAGCTGGTCTTGCGGGTCTAGATGTGCCAATGTTGAGGTCCTTGTACATGCTATTATCTTTTGTTATACCCTTTTGTAAATGAGACCTGTGACATGTTAGATTTATAACTCTGACAGTATATGTACTTGTTTGTACCTTGACACGTGCCGTGTGGAACAAAGGTGTATTAGTGGCAAGGGCACTCAGCAATTTGATCGGCTTTTCATTCCCTGATGCAACCTGATATGTGGTTTTAGTTTGTTGTTGGTTCTCTCCTTTGTTTTCAGAGGTTTCTTTCTGCGTTATCCAAATTTTACAAAACATCTCATTTTTGCAATTTTGATTACATAGTATTTCATGACTTATTATTTTTTTGGTAGTAAATTAGCACATAGAGCAGGTTGATCATAGTTGTACATAAATGATTATTTTTGTTGTTGTTCATTTGTTTCAGTGCAAATCTCTGGTAGATCAATATGAGCCTGTGATAATGAAAAATCTTGTTGCCCTGATGGTGAGTATTACTGAGAATAATTAAAGGGTTCAGGGGACAAGTACTTGCAGGCCCATGCTATGACTCAATCGAGATTCGGTGATGATTGTAAACAAAAACCCACAATAACTGAATGAAGGGCCCGGGTTTGCAGAAAGGGTGTAAGTGATTGTAATCCACAAATCATTTTGGGAAGACATGCGCAATATAATGTTGCTGTGAGTCTGGAAACAGGGCTGAAGCGTCAAATTGTGATTACCATCAGCACTCAACAAATGTGACCTTCTCCAGGAAAATGAGCAAAAACTAATGGTTGATGAACGGCTTGTTAATGGCTCTTCAAAGCATTTTAACAGGTTGATTAATGCTTTTAACGGGTGAGCGGAAATTTCTAACAGCTTCGGAAAGTGTTTGAACAGATTGATTTTCCTAACATTTTGCTTAACGTGTTAACTAAACGACACGTTCTTTGTGATTTTAAGTAATCTTCCTAATAATCTGTTTGTCTCAAATCAATGCATTGTCAGGCTTGAACCTTAAGACTTAGGTGTAGTGACGAACAAAACTTTCAGTGCCTCATGTTCAAACAAAATTCTAACGACTTCTCTTAACACTTCGAATGTTTTCCGTTCAAAATTCGAACGTCTTTTTCTAACGCCTTGAATGGTTTTCCTAACGCTTTTAACAGCAGGTTACAAAATTGTCAGGGTTTTTCAAACCCCTTCAATAATTTCCAAAACCGTTTTAACGCTTACCTAACGAGTTGTAAACGCTTTTAGCTGTTAAATGGAAAAGCAATAGTTTTCGTTTTCCCAGAAAAGGTCACAAATATGTTAGAAGCCATCTTCATGAAGTCCTTAAACTGACCTTGGTTCTAAAGAGAGTGGTGAGAAAACTTGCTTTCCATTGATGTGGCAAGGGTTTGGATCCTGGTCTGGGTAACAATCTTAAAAGAGGTTTTTATCCGTGCTCTCCATTTTCCCCCTCTCCTCAAAACCAACATTTCTAAATTCCAGTTTGATCCAGACTATTACAAATATAGAGCCAGTTTATGGATGCCCCACCAGTGATACAATTTTTTTATTTTCTATATAACTTTATTGAATTTTATGGTATGATATTTTTCTCCTTTATTTTTAGGCAGATCCCCAGCAAGCCTGCACAGCTTTGGGGCTTTGCAAATCCAAGCAGAAGAAGGTCATTGCTGCGAAACTTATCATGAGCACTTTACCACTGGCGAAAAACTTCCTGTCTTCAAAACCTAAAAAAGCCATCCTCAAGTCAAAGCCTTACAAGGCTTCTCCTCTGTGCGTGCTCTGCGAGTTTGTAATGACTGAACTCAAGACCTTGCTTAGTGAAAATGCAACACAAGTAATTATAAATTTTGTTTTGAATAAAAACAAAAATATTGATTGGTTATTTTTGATTATTTTTAACGAGGCATTTTCTGTTGTTCCCACCTGTGCAAATTTCTTCATAGGTGTCATAAAATGGGATATAAACTTGCCAACCCAGTTTTAGATGTTACAGGTCAAATATGCTGACCTCAGGTTAAAATTTTTAACCTTAGTAGGTTGAATTTCAATTTCCTTTGTGTGTTATAGCTGGAAAACAAAGGAAATTGAAAATTAACCTGCAACTAAGACAACTTCTATGGTCAATGATGTCATGGGCATTCCCCCCCTGAGATTGACAGCAATTAAAAACTACGTGCACACAGCATAATTTGTACCTAAAAAGGGTAACTTTGTTCTTTCTTAATTTTGCAAAAATGGAATGTGTGTTGTCTTGAATAATTTTCATCAGTTCTTTTCTCTTAACCGGGACCTAATTTTTTAACTTTTTTAAACCATGATGTGCAAGATGAGTTAGAAATGTCCTTATTTTGCTTTTAATAAAGATATTTCTTGAATAATATTAACGCATGTTTTAGTTCTAGAGTCACCCTCACCCATACCCTAACACCAGGTCAAACCTTTTGCCTAGTTTAAAAGATTTAGTAGTTAAAATTGAAATGTACTACTACACAAAAAACTTCATTACCTAATGGGGACAAACAGGTCTTCTTAAATTTAGACTAGTGCAGCCATAGTTATTAGAGGAGACTGGTTATGAAAAGCGGCAAACATCAATGATGAAAACAACAGTGCTGCAGTTTATGTTCAAAGCACCGTGAAAGTGCACAATCCTTTGTTTTCTGTTGGCAAATTGTTACGGAATAAATTAATGCAACGTTTTTATTGGTCAATACAATCAAAATGATAGGAATTCTTTTGAACGTTGTGCACTTTCAGGTCCACAAAAACATATAACAAAGGACTCTGACAGGTTTCATAACCATTCCACTCAATTAACTATGGTGCAGCATGGACTGTTTTTGCAGGCGTTAAATTTCAGAGATTTTAAACATGAGTAATAATGAGATGTTTCGTGGCTCTTAGGGGCCACAGATTTGTCATTCATAAGACTGGCACGCATTTACTTTCTTGTTCAAGTTGCAAAGTCAATAATGTGCTTTATTTTGTTTATTTTGCAGCAAGAAATAAAGGAGGCCTTGGAAGAGGTTTGCAATTTGCTTCCTTCCAGTATACAAAGTGAGGTAAATGTATGAAAGATTTATTTTTGTTTGTGTGGTTTTGTTTTTCATGGTTTTCTTCGGCACCATCTGATAATCTTAGTTAATCACTTTTTTGCTCAATATGTTGTAGATTTTAGTTCATTTAGTTACTAGTTGATATGTTTCATAAATATTAGTACAGTTCAGTTTTTGTGCAGGAATTGAGTTTTTTTTGCATAAGGGTAATTTGGCTTTTGGCCTGCCATGCTGATTCCAGTGAACATCTCTATTTATCTACCCCACCTCCCCCATTTGTTATTAGTGAATTTCTGTAACAGGATGGGAGAAGAAAGAAGATGGCAAACCTTGTGTGACAAGCATGACAATAATTTGTTGAAAAAAAATTCACCTTCCTTTAAAAAGGTCTTTTTGTAAAAGACCAGAAAATATTAATGATAAGTGTTGATTATGAGAAAACACGCAAGTTATAGCCCTATCACATTCCTTTGACATCCTCTTTCCTCCTGCTGTCTTGTTGTGTAAACTCACTATTGTATAATGAGGCCCTCTTGGGGGAGTAAGTATGTCCCTAGTTTGAATTTCAAGAACAGCCATTACGCATTATTGAGGAGAAGGCAAGGCTGTGCTCTAAGGAAAATTGAAGGGAGGCCAGTGTTCTGAAGCTATAAAATCTAGGGTGCCCAGCATAATTATGATCTGTATGAAAAATCTGAGATTTTCTAGTCGCCACGATGATGACAAGTTATCAATGCTAGAAATGGAGGGGAAGGTGATTACAAGTCAACAGTGCTGTCACTTCTTGAAAATGCCAATCAGATAAAAAAGATGTGTTATAGGAAGGGTTTCCTTGATAACTGTGCCATGATACTGTGTTATTTTTCTCCACAGTGCACACAATTCGTGGAGCAGTATGAACAAGCCATTATTGATATCCTGGTGCAAGAACTTGATCCATCCATGGTTTGTGCAGCTCTTAACCTTTGTGCATCAAAGAAACACCAGAAAGGTAAAGGATGGCAATGTTCTGTCATTAAAATGACGAGCCACTTGAGGCTGAGATAAAGCTGTGGTGATATGATGATCTAAACACTTTGTACTCTGTCTTAAATCTGAAGGGTCGCAGATTGAGGCCTTGTCCTTGAAGTTTTTTAAACAGATTTTTATTTCTGTTATCTGTAGAAATAGGGAAGACTTTATAGGAAGCTTTTGTTTAAATTTTCCGTTGTATGGAATTGTTTTTATTATCAAACAGCCTACACTGGTCTATGTAACCAAACATAGCTAAGACATAGACTTTCCAACACAGTAAAGACGGTAATGACATTGACATGAAGGTTGTAGTGGTGTAATGATTAATCAGATCCTCGATTTATCACGATTGTGACCTTTTGGTTCGATTCATGATTCTTTGCTTCCAAGTTTCGATTTTAGTTCCATTTTTTCAGACCTTTTTCAGGGTGCCCTCAGTGATTTATTACATTGTAAAATCAGAATCAAGAACTCCTTAAAATGTGCCTTTTTGATTGATGAGCAAAGACGATTGCAGTTCATGCACCATTTTGTGTTGTGTGGTTATAATGTTGTCCTTCAACAACCCTTGAGAATTTCCAAATAGGGCAAACCATGTGCAACATGCTCTTTGTCAGGTTCTCAAACATGGCGACGAACGACCAAGCGACCATGAATCCTCCTGTCCCTGTTACTATTCTCAAATTGAGGATTTAGGGTTGCACGTTGTTTACATTATGCATTATGTTATAAGAATTAAGAAACATTAATAATTTACATAATCAAATTGAAATAATCAAAATCAAATTGAATCGCAGGGAATATGAATCGTTACACCCCTAGAAGGTTATGCAATTCTTTGCTTCTACACAGAGACGCTTATCTTTATTACATGTTGTCTCTGACCTCGCTCTTCTTGACATGAGTGGGATCATCACGCCTGCATATGTTCTTGGGTCACAGAACTTTCTAATTGCTTAAGGCCACGGAACATGGCTGAATATTGGAGATATGAGACTGTAGTTGTGTTCATCAAATGGGGTCTTGTTTTGATCTTTCAGCAATGGAGAAGCCTGTGGCTCTTAAGGTTGGAAGTAATGAGACTTGTGAAATCTGTGAAACTGTCATGACATATCTGAAGAATGCACTTGCTGACAATGCCACCAAGGTAACTTTCTAAAACTTGGCTTTCCTTATCAGTGTTTCAATTCTACCATTCAAAGATTGTAAAGTAACTGGTATATATATTTTGCCAAGTTTATTTTTTGATTGTTTGTTATTGTTGTTTTTTCAAGTTTTCTAAGTTAAGCAAGGGTATAGGTAGTATAGTACCCTGGGAGCAGAGGATTATCTCTTGCATGGTGTTTATTGTTTACAAAGTCGTTTGCATCGCTGGTCAGTCGCATTGTGCTGATGAGCAACGTTAATGACTTTGTAAATGCTAAACGCCATGCAAGAGAGAAAGCTCTGCTCGCAGTGCAGTGGAATAGGCACCATTGCAGTATTAAAATATCATTGGATTCACTTTTTTTTCTCTCCTTTTTTTTCTGTTAGGAAGAGATCCTTAGTCTTATGAAAGCGGTTTGCAACTACTTGCCATCCCAGATTGCCTCAGAGGTAATTTTGATGTGATATCATCTACACTAACTTGTGAACTGATGAAACAACAACAACTTTATTCTTTGTACAAAAATACAAAAGTTGAATAGCTTGCCCTGCAAATAGCTGGAAAGCTAGTCTGGCAGGGCAAGACAAGTATATCAATAACACAATTATCTAGTAAAACAGAAACCTTAAACTATTAGAAAGCTTTGCAGATTGTAACTAAAAATAAATAACACACAGAAGTTAAGGTGGCTCGACTGGATTTTTTTGAGGGGATACCTCCCAAGTTTGAGCATTAACTACTTCGCCATGAGTAAAGATATGGGAAAAAGATTACCACAACTGTATTATATAAAGACGAAAATTTCTTATGATCTGAGTTTTATTGCAATCGGAGTCGCCATGGCAACATAACGACGCCATTACGTTTTTTATTTATCTTTGTGTTTCTCTGTACCAAGAGTTTTTTTAAGAAATCGCTTAAGGGAGTTTGTACCTGCCATAATTGCCTCAATTATGGCAAAGTTTGAACAAATTCTATGAGAGCGTTTTCGAGATATTTTGAAAGGAAGTTTTAAGCATCATAAAAACAGTGAAATAGCATGCTATCCACACAATTAGCTAATTTTTTAAGAAAATGGTAAGCTTTGGAAACGCGGCTTCATCTCATAGTGGTTTGATTCCATTGAAAACTGCATACAAAAAAAGAGAAGAATTGCTCTGGGCGATCTCGAGTAAGAAGAATTTTAGTAACTTGCATTTAGCTGCTTTTGTTACGGTTTTTGCACATAATTTGGTCCATGCGTACAAATTTTGCATTTTTCAAAAAACCGCTCGATAAATTTTTTTATAAATTTTGCAATTCCGAGATCAATCGTGTATAAATATACCCTGCAAGTTTTAAGAACATTGAAAACAGAGAAGGCTTTTAAATAGGGCCTCAAATATAACCAATTTCCCCCCCATATTTTGTGTTTACAAGTGAGCATCCTCATTATTCACTGGCATTGTTTCCAAGTTTCATATGCACGTGCCCATTTAGTGATCTAATTGACACATGTTGATTCTTTGACAGGTCATCGTTCTTTAATTCTTTAATTTCATTACGCAAAGCTTGATTTGCCTTTCAGAGCTTGTCATTACCCATCATACTGAATGGTTTTCAGAATATGCGGGCTCAGGATAAGAGAAAAATTTGTGAATTAAGATAGGAGTGGACAAAAACACTTCTGCACGGCTCTGTTCTTACGTGGGGCTCACTTGAAAATATAATAGAATGATTGATTAATTTGATTATTAAAACTATTTATTTGTCATTTTATTAGTGCAGTGCTATTGTCTCAGAGTATGGTGAAGCCATTCTGGATCTGATTGCCGACTCTGATCCTCACGTTTTGTGCCAGGTATCAGTATTGTTTTCTTTATCTGCACCGCAGTAGAATACTCTTTACAGCGATGGGTCCAGCAGGAGTTCCAGATGTCCTTAACCCTGTCATCTCCAAAAGTGATCAAAGTCAAACTGCAATAAAACTTCCAAATTTCATTTTGTAAAAATGCTGGCAAATAAAACCATGTGAGAGAATTGTCAAAGAGGCTTTATTTGTATGGTCATACCACAGGATTTCATCCAAAGACTCAAAAATTAGAACCACTTGACAAGATTCCGTCTTTCAATCTCAGCTAGGGTGAAAGGGTTAATTTTGAGATTGTACCTAACAGACTTGTTCCAGGGTATGTTTTGGAAATTGACCAAAGGTAGATTATGTTTTAATGAGTACAGAAAACAAAAAGAGAGTGCAAAAAATTCCTTCGTAGCACAGAAAACTCACGCTTAATCTTAGGCTGCATTATGCATCTGGGCCCAGGGCGTTTTTGCATAGATCATGGTATGCTTCAGAATGAAAATTTTCTGCAATCATTCTGTTTGATTACAAGGATTTTTTTTCCACACAATCAAAGATAACTCGACCAAAACAAACATCGCAAAAAAAAGATACCTTGAAACATAAAAACAGTTGTAGAAAATTTCCACTTAATATCAAGTGGCTTTACTGTTGTAACCACACCCAATGCAAGATTCATGAAGCCATCCTAAATTATGGTAATCTAAGTAAAGTCTCACAACAATTAACAAAATGCCCAACGTATAGTACAGGACATGGGAGTTGCAGCATTTCACCTGTTTTGTAAATCTGACGTATTGCATGCAAATTGCACGAGAACTACACGCGCGAAACACGCGTGTAAAAAAATAAACGTATAAATATTCGAGAAAATACTTGTCTTATTTACTTGTAAAATTGTACGTGCGCATATCATGTCTAGGTTAAAGAGGTCCTTTTAATTATTTCAAATCAGACAATAGTACGACAGCATAGTATTGGGAATTGTAACACACAATGTGCGAGGAAAAAAATGAAATTAGTAGAACGCTAGCAATGTCAGTTTGTTTTAAGGAAAAAGGCTGTTACAGTTGAAGGTGGATTGGCAAGCGAATACTTAAAAATTTGTTTAACATCCATTTGGCTCATTGTAAAAAACAGAGTTAACAGATGTCATTTCATATTTACTTTTCAGGAAATCGGTCTGTGTGATTCAGCTGTTGTAAAGAAGAAGGGCGGTGACTTCTGTTTCCTTGGTGCATCATTCTGGTGTGCTAGTAAGCAGAATGCCTTCAACTGCAATGTAAGTTAATCGTATACTGAAAACATGACAAACGTAGTTAATAGAGTTTTGGTTTAGAAGGGTAGCAAGGAGAAGGAACAACGGAACCTTTTTTCCAACTGATTAATTAGTGACTTGAAGTGGCCAGGCTTGGGGAGACTCCTCTTAGTTTCCTCTTAGACTCCTCTTTTGTTTTGCAATTCCCCCCTCCACCCCCCCACTACCAGCTTCGCTGTTCCTGAGGTGGTACTTCCTGATTATACACACCATCAAGGTATGTGCAATGCGGTACGGTTTTTGACCCTTTTTGATCTGGAATTGGGTATAGGTCCTAACCGTTTGGGTCTGTACAGGGTTTTTTTTTGTTATTCACTTCCTGAGTAGAGTGGTTGGGATGTGAAATATGTTAGGGAAAAAACTTGTGGTCTGAAACAGGGAGATGTTTCAGTAAGCATGTCAAACATTTCTGCATGAATTGGATGCCAAACCCAAAAAGCAATAAGAAGAACAAAACTAGTGAAATTGAAGGTATAAAAAGAAGACGTCCCTGTAGGAAATATTCTTATATTTGCGCTTTGGACATACACTTAAACAAGGAGGCCACATCACTTAAGTGATTTTAGTGAGGGCCCTGTTTCAAAGGATCACAGCAGTATTCATACTTAATTCATGACTTAATTTGGTGTGTTCTTTATCTCCGCAGGCCTTGAAACACTGCACCGAACACGTGTGGAATTAGACCAAGCCTTTTGCTTTCTCTTTTTCTACTGCCCATTGATAAACACACAACTATTATGCCAATAGCGGAGAGGACTTAAGAAGCTCTAAGAAAATCTTTTGTATTAAGTTTAACTTAGTTATATTTTTATTTTTCTTCGTCTTTTTTGTAGCCTATTTTCCTTTTGATGAACATTTTTTGGTCGAAAAGCTCAAAGGGACTGGCAAAATGTGTTCACTATAGCGAGGTTTTTTTTATATGTAGGTTCTGTTACAACACCGCGGCGGAAAACAACAATGGTCAACCGCGGATTACGAAAGCATTTTTTTTTTTGTTTTATACATTTTGCTCTAAAGCCGGTGAGTCTTCTATAAACAGCCAGGGCATGTAAACGAACTCACTGGTGTGTTTGTTGCTTTTTTAACCTTTCATAAAATAAAAAGAAGTGATTTTTTTGAGCTCTAACATTTGTTTGTCGTGAATTTATTTCCTTGACGGGTGAAACTAGACAAACTGACTGTCTATCAACCGACTTTTGTTGTCGACTTTTTTTACTAGCTCTTTCTTATTGTGGGGAAGTCGAGTGCCGGGTATGTACTTTTTTTACAATTAGTCAGTCGATCTATTTCACAAATAGACTTCATGTTGCCGTGCGTCAATTCAGTAATAGAATGACTTAATAATGTGGTAAGAACAAAAAGTGGCACACAAGCCGCAGGCGAGTGTGTCACTGATGTCCCCACCACATTTTGACGTCTTCTGTGATCTGTTAGAGAGATTAAGCACAGCGTTTACGGCAAACGTGAATTTGTACCACTTGAGCAAGTTTTCCATTTACTTGTCGTATACTGTCCATTGCAACTACACGAAAATCGGTAAATTAACTCCAATTCTGTCTATACGAATTGTTTTAAGCTGTTTTTATCTGCCCATTTCTAATTCTGAAAATCTCGAGTTACCCGTCTGCCCTAAACGCGATGCTTAATCTCTCTATTACTGAACAGACGCACAACAACATGGAATACATTTGTTTTATATACAAAGGGAACAAATGTAGTGGCGATCGACTGAGACTCCTCGAGTTCCGTTTCTTTTGCGAAACGCTTTTTAATCCTTCTTCTTCTTCTTGCTTTTCGTATTTATCTACAGCCTCGGTAAGACCTCGCTCTATATTGTCATTCACCCGGTCGGGTAAAATAACGTCTAAATAAAAAACTTTCCGCCATTTCATAAAATAGCAGAAAAAAGTTGCCAATAATGACGTCAACTGTGCATCTGGCCCCAGTTGTTCAAAAGGTGGATAGTACTATCCACTGGTTAACAGCTGCATCGCTGAAGTGGAGGTTGGGTGCCTGGAGTATCCAGGGGCTTCCACTATTGGCAGCCAGCCCGTAGATTGAAATAATGCCCCCATGACTGGCACAACAGTGCAACTCAGCCATGAGCCCTCACTCAAAAGGAAAGAGGAGAAACTAGGAGACTTTCAGTATGGGGGGAAAGGTAGGGTTAAAGTTTGCTAACGCCTAGCTCAGTTGGGAGAGCACCCGTCGGCAGAGCGGGAGGTCGTGGGTTCAAACCCCGGCCGGACCAACAGCCAGGGTCTTTCAAAAACTGGTGAGATCACGCTGGCTCTGATTTGAGTTCTTGCCTCGGTTGAAGGGGCTGTGTCATGGCAGTCCAGTTCATTTTGTTTCATTTTGCCAATTACTTGCCCTCAATCACTATGGAACTTAAAGTAAGCAAAGAAATTACATGGAAATGACAAAATCAGAGATTCGAGACAAACACATGTGTCTCCTGAGCATTATTTTTGAAGTTGCAAACAGCAGAGATCAACTTTAAAAAACTGTTTTAAGCTGAACAGTTTTCAAACACCCTAATTTAAATCAGTTTCAGTCTGCTTCAGTTTTGCCCATCTGTTAAATCTGTTGTATCTGTGGTGTTATTTTAACGTTCCTTTAATGTTTTAAGCGGTTATTTTTACGTTTCTCTTAATTTAACAGGCATTTTGTAATTTCCTAATTTGGCTGAATTTCGTGACACAGCTCCTTTAAGATGATCGCGTCATTTGGCAGTGACGTAAAGCCGTTGGACTTGTTTCCTTCATTCTTCTTTCATTGGTCAAAATCAAAGGGGACGTAAAAGAACCCACACTACTGTTCGAAAAGAGTAGGGGAAGTTTCCTTGGTGGTGCGGTCTACCTTTCAGGCATCATGCACCATTTATACCATAGGCTGTGACTGAGTTACCGTAAACTCATAAATGGACTGATAGCTAGCGGCTGCCAGTGGCGCCTTGTATGCTGCAGTCCGAGCTTACTGTTAACATGTAAATAGGGCGCATCTTCTTGTCCTCTAATCCACGACATTACATTACATTAACAAATTTTAGAATTTTAACCACCTCCATGTCTGAAGTGAGCAAAATACTCTACAATATATCTTTTGACTTAATTCGGACAAGACCAAAGCCCTCAAATAAATCAGCCCTTTGCCCCATATTACCAGCCTTGTAGCGCATTCGTTTGGTTTTAAGTAAAGCCCCCCCCGCCCTCTCCTAGAGGGCTTCCCAAGGTAATGAAAGTAAAAATAAAGTCCTTTTTGGGGAACCAATATTGTTCTAAGAATGGATAACCTTTTGTTTAAATAGCACATCGAGTTGCGGGATTCAGGACAAACTGTCATTGGTCTGCCTGACGTGGTAAACTTTATTAACATGAATCTGGTTGCTTTTATTTTGAATTTCACCATTTGCACATCTCCCAAATAATACACCTTGCTTGCCCCCTCCCCAAATTTTGCTTAACCCCTTGGTTTCGATTCCTCCTAGAAAATTTTGATTCCCTTCAGAAAAGGACTGACCCAGCTTTGGCGCCGGGTGGAAACGGGAAGACCTTGGGGTGGATGTTTCATTGGGCTTTTATTTCTACAAGAATTATAAGGCAAGAAACGAACAGGGAAAACGAAAAACTACTTTAATGTCAGATTAATTCTACTTGATTTGAGATTACATTTTTAAAATCTTTATTTAGCCTTTATTGGGAAAACAAAATATATGCATTTAGTAAAATCCAACTAGTGGTCTATTATAAATGCTGCGTTCTGATTGGTTGAGCTACTACTAGGCTATACCGGTATGTTATAGTCCACTAGTAGCGAAGGCGCCGGCTTTTTGGCGGCAGAAAAAGGATTAAAGTCTAGTTTTAACCAGCTAAAGTTGTTTTGTCGCGATATTTTTGACCAGCTAGTTGAATTTTACTAAAACAATTATTCCTCTCGCCCTCATGGCCTCTTAGTGATAGCCCATTAGGGCTTGAGGAATAATTGTTAAATACAAGCTGAAGGGCCGGGGCTTATTACTTTTCGTAACACGAAGGACTGAGTAGAAACCAATAAAGTGATCCTTGCGGCAAGAAATTTGAGAGAGCAAAGAAAAAAAAAAAGAATATATAAAAAAATCAAATGGTTAAGCGCACTGGTCCATATTTCGTTTTTCAACACAAACCTCATCCGGGGCTAAGAAAAAAAAGAACTGGCCACGTAAATATCTCTGCCAAGGACCTCGATCAGGCCCCAGTTGTTCAAAAGGTGGATAACCTATCCATTGGATAATGCGTACAGGAATCAGATCTAAAAATACTTACCTTGTGTTCTATTGTAAGACAAATTCGAGGGATAAAATGTGACTCTGGTCTGAACTTAAAAATGGAAGAATTAAAAAATAAATGTTTTCGAATTCAGGATATCACACAACTTTAGAGATCGTTCAGCCGGTACCTTGCTGCAGACTCAGGAGGTGCTTGTATCAGACATCACGTGACTGTAACGAGTGAAAATTTTATATCGATCATATGATCGACTATGATCATCACCAATTCCAACCCGTACCAACTCTAGATTTAGTCTGCAGCGCAGGCCCGCTCGGATCACGATGTGGTTGAGTCAAAGAAGGAAGGTTATTTTTAGGGGTAACAGTACAGTGCTGGGCTGGTTCTCCCAAACTCCCTGAGCTTGCACGCTACAGGCTGTTTTAGTAAAGTACTTCTCTCATACAAAGTCACGAATGCCTTGATAAAAATACTATTCAAATAGTACATAACTAGGGACATAAGAATAATTCATGATGGGAAACAGTTGAATGGTTCCCAGGTGAAACTGAAATCACGATGTTTCGTTCTTCAGCCATGTTCAGCCAGTGCACCCAGGACGCACAGAGGAGACAACAGGTTAAAAATTGCTTCTCGATGTAGGAAACACCCTTTTGGTTTATGGTTTTGCGAAAGGTAAACTATAAGCAGTTGCGATTTTTTAAACAAAATTTTATGAAACTCCTTCCCTGTTTCAAATTTCCTTCTGTTTCGCACACTGAGAACTTCAGGTGCGAAGAGTCACGAAGTCACGAAATTCGCCTATTCTTGCTGCCTAAATAGGGACAATAGTCGCACCCCCCCTCTAGAGCCTAATAACGAATTGCTTGAACAGTTGTGAGAAAATCATTATAGATCGTAAGAATATTAGAAAGAAATCTTCAATATAAATTCGCATAAACCATTTTTGGTTCTCAAAATACTCTACTTCAATTCAGTTAGGTGCATTCTGACTCTTAGAGGAAGATTCTAAATAATGGTTCTTAAAGAATTTCAAAATTTTGATGAAATATCGAAGATTGCAAGTAACCTCTTACTACCTGTGCGCTCAGCGCTTTAGTGAGCTGGATCTCGTGTTTGAAGTAAAAGTTCAGGCTTGATGCGATGAATGCGATCGTGTCATACTGTCTGAAATGGGAGAATTTCCTTGCTTATGGAACCGTTTCTTGTGGTAACGTTATTACCAGCGTACAAAGGGAATAATTCTGTTGGCTGTGCTGCTTATTTTGGAATCGAAAACATTGTTATACCTGCCGTAGAACGGCTTTTAGACCAAGAAGCGGGAAGGACAGCGGTTGTGGCGCATTCAAGAATTTTTCTGGCTTTTACTGTGGAAGTTTGAGTAAATTGTCAAGGAACAGGTCAATTTGTTTGTGCACGGACGTCCCTTTGTGTGTTTTTGCGACGAGCCGTATGCGGCGATTCACCTTTCATGCAGTTTTGCTTTTATTTATGATGGACTGAGGTAATCGATTCATTGACAATGGCCGTGGTCCAGTGGTCGCGTAAATTCTGGCGAAAACTTTGAGGAATTTTGCTCAGAACGATTTTTAAATCTTATTGAATTTGAATTGCCTTTACTTTGGAACTAGTATTGGATTATTTTTTGTGCGAGAAATTTAGAAAAGCAGAGATTTGTTGGCCTGTTTTGGATCCGTTGTATGGATCGGCGAGATTCAGTGATTGGTTCACTGGCGTAAGAGTCGAAATTTAAAACTCCCTCCTTTTTACTGGCACACAACTTTGTGCTTCATTACAAGGGGTGATTGAACCAGGAACACCATGTTTCAACCCTCGCATTTTCAAAAAATGGCCCAACATTTGGGTGTAGACTCTCTAACCTACGAGAAAGAGTACAATGCATTCATGACAAAGTTGAAGAACTTCCACGAGTCCAAAGGGTGAGCTGAGTGAATGTTTGGAGGTTTTCTTGCCACGGATATTTTGTGTGTTATTTCCGCAATACTTAAAGATAATTTTATCCTATACTTTGTCGCCTAGGACGCCGTTTAGACGTTTGCCGTGGTTAGGAGGGCAATATTTGGACTTGTATCTTCTGTACCGTAAAGTTACATTGGCCGGTGGTTGGGTGAAGGTAGGTGGCTAGATTCCCGCGTTTTGTTCAAATTTTATAATGGTCTTCGTCGATTCTTTCGTCTTACGAACCACTGAGATGTGACTTGAACGGTATCTGTCCATATCCTAGGTCACAGAAGGGAAAACTTGGCGAGACATCGCCGAAGTTTTTAATTTACCGCCGACCTGTACAAATGCTGCTTTCGCTTTACGGCAACATTATTCTCGGTAAGTGAAACACAAGCCTTCCATTCACGTCCAAAGTTGTGTACATTTAGGACTCTAACCTTTCAATTAACTGACGTTTAAAGAAAATTTAGGGGATACGTTACGTCTGTACCTCTTGAATGGTGCATTTTGGCGAACAAAAGTCACATTACCTCGAGCAAGGATCTCTCTAACGATTCTTGTATAGTCACGTTACAACGAGTGTGCTGGTGATAAGATTATACACTTGGAAACTTCCGTTAGCCACATAAAATCTGTTATTTGCCTTCACATTTTCTCCATCGTAATGTAAGGTACATTTCATTTGTTTGCCAGCACTGGAATTTTTGAAGAGTCTGTGAAAGTTTGGGAAACAAAGTTAGGTCTTTATGCCCGGGGATGCCTTGATAATAACAGTTTCTTTTAGCAGTGTGTTTCCTAAAATTCTCGTAAGCTTAATCTTTTACATAATTTCATGATTGATTTGTTTTCACGGGGTTATTTCCGGTATTCTTGACTCTAGCGATGATATTCCTTCAAAATAATACGTATCCTTGTTGAAAGATATCGGATAAAGAAAGAAAAAACCACTGACAATGGACTACAACTTCTTTGTGTGTGACTATGTGCATTGTTATCGAATATTTTTTAACGACCTGAAAACTTCACGACTTCTTGTCGTTCGTGGGTTTAGCTTTACCCTAAAAAAGAAATAATTCCCTTGAGCCATGCAGGAAGCAAGCGTTAAAATGGTTTTATGGCATTAAATCTTATTATGCAAATGAAAACGTGCTACATAAAACAATATAATTATTGTCCATCAGTTTGGCTTTAGTCGAACATCGAGGCTTTCGTACGTTTGTACGAAACACGGACGAGATGAAGTTTTTTGAGAGAATTATTCCGAGATTAAGTAAGATATCTCTTACTCAAACGCATTTGTTTAGCCTCTTATTTTAGTAGATACAATAAGCTTGACAAAACTCAGTCAAGAATTTAGATAGAGAAAGAGGAGACTTCTGTTACCATGTAAAGGAAAATACCCAGTTTAAAAGCTTACATGATTTTGAACGTTCTTATTCCAAAACCTTCCTCACTTCCACATTTCTACTGAGAAAATAGAAAGAAAAATGACAATGATTAAGAAATGCATCTCGGTTTTAATGATTGTTACTAATTCTAAAAATCAATGTTTACATTTGATGTCATACCCCTGGTTGCTGGTAAAATTAAAGCTTGTTTTGTCATATCAGTGAAGAAGTTCTTGAACTTCCTTAAATACAAGTTGTAATTTCTTTTATATTTCTGCACATTAATTTGTTACATTTCATCCTTTTAAAAAAAAGAAAAATGTGGCAGCAAAAGAAGTTCTTGAGATGGAACAGAACAGTGTTTCAAAGCTGCTTATTTTCTTCTTGAATGATTATTAAATGGCAACAAAATTATTCTTGCATGTTCAAGGAAAAAAATTCAGGGTTAAGTCTACAACAGGTGCAATGAATGACAAATAGTGACTAACAGTTTATTAAGTAGCCAAATGACTTTTGTTATATGACAAGCCTGGGTATTTCAGAGTATGTATTTGGTCAGTTTAACTCTAGTGATTAGAAAAAGAGCATTTTACCTGTGTTTTTTTTTGTCAGTACTAAATGAAGTAGGGTTGTGGTAGGGGCATTTTTGCTGTTTTTTGATCATAGTTTACTGGAAAATGAAAAATCATTCTGTGAATTGTAACTCGAGTGCTCTTTGTAAAATGATAAATGCTTAGATCTTTGATTGTGAATTGTGAATACACTGATATTGAAGAAATTAAAGCGGGCCTCTGTGGCTTGATTTAACTCAGTGTAGCTTTTTGTTCAGTAGGTAGCCATACAACTCAAAATTTGAGTTGAGAAAATGTTTTTCTAGTTCCGCCACCTATGAAGTGAAGTGCTCAAAGCACTTTAGAAATTGTTACCGTAACTATTTGTTTGACTTTTGTTTTTGAGAATCAAGTGTCATGGCTTGGGAAATGTAAAATATTTTGCATTTCATGAGTAATGAAACAGAATTCTGGGAAATAGAAGTCATACATCATAGAGACCATTAAAAAAAGTTATGAAAATTACTGGTCTTGTCCTGATGGTTTTTGACCTCTTGCTGAAGTGAGTGATCTTATATACCTTATTCTCACCTAATTTCGCAAGTATTAAATTTCGCGAAAAATCATGAGCCATATTTCGTGATTATTTAATTTCATGATTTTTAGGGATTTATAGGGATTTTTAGTGAATTTTTAGAGATTTTTAGATATCGCAAGTATTAAATTTCATGATTTTTCCCAAATTGCGAAATTGAAAACTCTTGAAATTAAGTGAGATCAAGGTATATGTGAAATACTAATAGTACAGTAGAACTGTGGTAACTCGAACTCTGAAGAGAAACGAAAAGCTGTTCAAGGTGGTGGGGAATTCAAGTTATTGGGGTAAATTTCAGTGAAATTTTGATCAAGGGAAAGGAAATTGAGTTCAAGTTAGCGGTGAATTCGAGTTATCCAAGTTTGAGTTATTGAGGTTCTTTTGTATTGAGGTTTTATTATATTACCTTACTTTTTTGCAAGTGAAGAGAAAACTAATTGAAAAGGAAGGATCATATCATTGAGTAAGTCTGCTTTCATTTCACTCTTTCAGTTACTTGGAAAGCTTCGAGAGAATCAACTTCTTTGGGGAAGATGCAGAAGATGTTCTTTCTGCTGGAAGACCCCACACTCCAGTTGGAGGAGGCTCATTTTCAACTCATATACCCACGGTGGCAGCTGCAGGTACCCCACTAATATTCTAAATTGCATTCCAGTATTTATTTGTTGTTGGGTAAGCTCCCATAAGAGGCCTTCAAACCCTTTAGTGGCTGCATGCAAGAACTGTTCTCGTAAGCGTCCACACCCTGAGGGTGTCCACTTACGAGAGCTTCCACTGTGTTTATATGTAAGGCTTCGTGAATAACGTAGCCATACTGATAAAAAGTATTATGTTGTGGGATATTTAAATATTATTTTATTAATATCATTGATGGGTATACCTTTTCTCACCTTTTGCTTTTTTTTTCCAGACTATGTTTCTGTCATTTCTACAAGTAAAGGTATTGTTTTCAAGTGCTTGTTTTGCATTGCTATGTGTGACTGGTTGAAGTTGTTTTGATACAGAAGCCCATTACTTCAAAATTTTATTTTAATGTACCATCAATGGAATTTTGATTGCAGATCCATCAAGGAACTTTGATAAACTTGTTCTCTCTCTTCAATGTGGCATGCCTAATGAAGTGGATTTTGCTATTAACATTTGTATGCTGTTGTCAAATGTTAGCAACTCAGTTTTTAACCTGAGCAAGGTATGATAAGAATGAATTTACCTCCTCTTGAAATCCTTCTATGAATCAATAGTTAATCAGGAAAGGACCTACAAAAACCGACAATTATGTGCAGGCCCATAAAACTTGGATATGTTGTATATGTTACAGGTTTGAAATTTGACTTCTGGTTAAAAGGTTTTAACCTAGGTTGATTATCAGATTAAATCAAAATTAACCTGAAATCAAATTTGACCTGTAACATGTATTTTTGAGTCTTCTGTAACATTTCATTTTCTTGTCTTCTTTTGTTGAGCGGTTTCAAATATAATTTTTAATTGTGTGACAGTAAAAATACTCTACAACATAGAAGACAATTTTATCACCAAAAGACTATACTTAGTTTCATTTTTTGATGCTTTTGATGCTAACACTTTTCATTATGTGACTTGATTTATTTCATTTAGGCTCCAGCAGTAATAGATACATTGTTGGCACACACTGGGATATTTTCAGAAGGTATGCAGAAGTTCATGCAAAAAGAAACGGGAGAAGTAGTTTAACTAGAAATATATTTTCGTTGTCAGAAAAGTCTTGCAAAGATGCAATATCTGAAAAGAGGCAATAATGTTTCAAAACTTCCAGAGGATTATTGTGCTATCCTGACTTCACTGAGAACAAAATTGTTAATAACCCCAGCCTGTCTTTATTTTCACCCTACAAGGTTGCAGTAGTTTAGTATCTTATGTAAAGCGTATTTCTTTGCCGTTTTCCAAGCTTTTGTTTGGTCACTTATTTTCACTGTCATCTTAAAAGAAATTGTGTTAATATTTCTTTAGATTCCCATGGATTAAAAGAACTGTATGAAGATTGGTACTTAAAGCAGCACATGGAAAGAGATTTTGTGAAGGTAATGTATGAAATGCAGGTTTCCAGCTCTATAGTGAACAAAAATGATTATCATGTAGCGTTGAATGTTATTTCCTTGTTAAACCTGGTTGGGTAATATGGACTTAAAACTTGTTTTCGACAGTTTTGGAAAGATAACTTAAAAGTTGAAGGAGTTCGGGAGATCCTCTGCAGCAAAAATGGTTTGTACAAGTTTTAATAATTCCTATTTAGATTAGTTGTATTAGATTCTTTGACATAATGGGTAGAGTTATGGGATGATTTTTAGGCTTCCCTTTGCTTCTCTCCTGTCACTTTTGTAAATAGTGCTAATTTATGTTCAAATGTTTTTGTCTGTTTAAATATAACTAGATTTTAGTTTTTAGTTTATTTAGTGATCAGTTAATTGCAAACGACCCCACAAGCTCATGTATCTTTAATACTTATCATTTTAAAATAAAGGCAATCTATCCATCTATCTATCTCCCAAGACAAGAGCTGTCTAGACTGCAAAACAGTCGGTTTTTTTTCAAAATCAGTAAAGAAATCGGTAAAGCGTGGAGTAAGAGTCTTACGCGCGCGAAGCGCGCGAGCCTCACACGCCCGTAGGGCGTGTGAGGCGAGAGAAAAAAAAACCGACTGTCCGTTTTCCATACAATAAGATCGTTCCGACCAGGGGGTTAAAAAATGTCGTCGAGCTGTCAAAAATCTGTTCGCAACTCCGCCCTCTTTGTGAATTTGATAGACTCGCGTGTTATTATTGACGCTGTAATCCAGTAATTCTAAAGCAGTTTTTAGCGTTGCTTCCCTGTGAAATGTGGTGTATATAGTGAAATGTAGTATATATAGTGGAGGATCAAAAATGAGTGAAAGTGGCAGTACGACGACAAAGCCAGTGCCTGCTCCTCGCAGAGGGAGAAGGCCGAAAGAGCCGAGGGCTTTGGACAAATTGTAGAATGTGTGGCTGTTGTTTCAAAACACAGTTCGGCAATTTTACGAATGGATGGATAAGCTCGGAAAATGCGTTTGTTGCGCCTACCAGAAAAGGAGAAACGTTAAAGTGGGCCGACCTACTGAAAAACGAGCTTTTCGTTGTCCTCGAGGAAGGAGAATCTTTCTCCACAAGAGCAGTCTGCTCTCCGTGTGGAACAACGGTTAGAAATTGCCCCGGGAAACTGCACGGCGATGCTTTCGCAAATGAAAAGAACTGAACACGCCAACTGACAATGAACAATTATTGCGATTGAAAAGAATGAGTAAATCCCCTCATTCCAAACCACGTCTTGGTGATTTAGCTCTGTAAATTACTATCTGTGAGAATTTAAAAACCTGCCAAAAACGCTAACGAGCTGGGCCCAGCGTGACAAAACATTGCAGGAAAAAGTCACATTCACGGACACAAAGAAAATCGCTTAAAATTATTCAAATCCAGGAGGCACTTTGGAGAAATAAAACAACCTAAAACCCTTAATCAGCCGCAATGAAGAGCTTTACATTTCTAAAGGGGCCAAGAAAGAAAATGGTCTTGCGTCAGAGGGCAAATCATGCCTACCAGAGAAAATCAATATGCGTGTCACGACCTCTCAGTATGAAATATTTAATAAGAGGCCAAAATTCACATTTGCTCAGTCAAAACGTTTTCCTCCAAAGCATAATCTACTCGACAGAGAAAACAATTCATTGGAACAAGCGGCATGTTTGCATGAGGTAAAAGTCGTGTGTTTCCTACCGATCCCGCTTTTTTAGCCAGGCGAGATAACAATGATGGTCGGCCGTTGCACGGAACTTGAAGAACTCTTTGCATGAACAAACATCCGATAAATAAGGCTTTTGTCAAATCCTGGTGGTAGAAACAGAAAACATCCTTTCCCCTGAGCAGCAACTCCAAAGCTTCCCTCTACTCCGATTTTAAAACAAATCCCAATTCTTGCGAGCAAATCCAGGCGATCAACATCTGTCATTTTACAGCGAAAGCTTTAGCAATTCGTCACGGTATGGAACAACGTGAATGACTTGTTGAAAACATTACTTGACAGCTTGGTGACAGCTTGCATCGAAATTTAGCCAATGGGAATTGCCCGTGGCTGGGAGAAGCGGGTAATTCGAACGAATATAACGTATGCAAAACGGACAGTCCGTATTTTTAGCGTCTCTCCCCAGTCTCGCTCTCTGTTTTCAGCCTCATTCCAGACCTTTTGTTTGACTGCTCGCGCGTACTTGAATACGCAAAAATACGGACTGTTTTGCAGTCTAAGAGCTGTCAAAATAGACCAATAATATGGTATACTAGAATCTGGTATTCGAGAACAAGCTTTTGCTAAAAAGTACAACAGGTGTTCCCTTGCTCTAACCTCCTGCCCCACCCCCTCGCCATTTTCTTCCGCTTACATCTCTTTGCACCATCCCCATGATCTGAACGCCTGGAACAGGCTAGAAAACGAGCCTTCTAGAGACACATTGGATAGTTAATGCTACTGTTTTTCACACTCAGCTCTGTATTTTTTTGTACTTTGGAACATTATTGGGTTTCATTTGATGTGTAAACTCTAGCTTACAATATTGCTTTTTCAAGTACCAGTTTTTACACATCTAAGTTCAAATTTTGGTCTCATGGTTCTTAGCAGATGAGGGACCAAATGCTACTGATGTAGAGGCACTTTTCCATCCTGTAAGAAGAAAAGTTGGAGCAAAAGACGTTGAATGTCAGAGGATTTCCCAGGTTATTACACAAAACAATTTAGAATTTTAAATGCAAGTTCAGCCCTTGTTGTGAATTGTCTTCAGTGAACCAGATGTTTGAAATTTTCCAGTACGTCCTTGTTATGTGGCGAGTGATCTTGAATTTTATTGCACTTTTGTTCTCATTTTTTTGCAATGTTAAAAATAATACTGTCAAAATTGAGCCTCCTTTTTTCTCCAAAATTATGTATGCAGAAAAAGTAGTAAGAATAAGGTTCTGTCCAGTCTCATTTTCATATTAGAACAGAATAATATTATTTGCCAATGTGGGCTGCATCTTAATAGTTCTTGTTTCTCCACTCTAGCCCATCTGTTTCATTTCATGTTATAGGTGTAAACAGTGGAGATAGAAAAACAGTGGTGTTATTTTGAGTGCTTGACATATTATGATAACACTCCTCTCTGCGCCATCACACTGTCTTTGTCAGTTGTTTTACCATTAGGCCCAGTTTAAATGTCGATCTTTCATGTACTGAACTTAATGCCTATTTAGGTCGACCCAAATGATATAAGTTCGACAGTTGATTCAGATGTCGAACTTAATTAGTCGGACTCAATTCATTTTTACGAATTATGTTCAATGGTCTGAAATGCTTGCAAGTGAAAATAAATTTTAGTTATTTATTCCTTTTGTTTGGCACATGAGAAGTTCGATGTTTAAAGCAAAGTCACTCCACAGTCGAAATTCCCATGTGGGCCACTCGATCATAATTCATGAGTCAACCCAAATTAGATATGTTGAACTTAATTGATTCAAATGTCGATCTTTTCATGTACTTAATTGAAGGGATTAAGTTCGGTACATGAAAAGATTGATGTTTGAACTGAGCCTTATTGTAAGTAAGCAATGGTGTCAGGCCTTGTCATCAATTTTTCCACTTCCTTTTGTAGGTTGGAATGATCCTCTATAACTTCTCATTTGATGACACAAATGCTAGTGTCCTTGCAAGTCATCCTTTGTGTTTGAGGTAAGACTGTTGTAATAAAATTGTTACTTTCTGAATTGGGATATGGAAGAGAATCCCTCCTTTTTTTAGAACTCTCAGAGCACGTTTTGCTTGCTATTCACACTTACTCATATGTCTCTCATCATTTCCACAAAGACAGTGTGCTTGTGAAAATATTGACTGAAATATTGTTTCAATATTATGAATTTCATTTGAAATTATTATCTTTTGGTCATTAAAAGTGCCTAGGTGTTTTTAAAATTGACAACTGTCTTGTAATCCACCTTTTCGTGAACATAACCGACAGCAACGATCCTCAGCCCATTTGCATTGAAAAGAAACGTAAGATTAACTGTGCAAATTTCCTATTAGTCCAGTCTCTTTGTTTGGGAGAGTTTTGTTGTACCCTGTCTGAGAAAACTTGGCCAAAGTGGAATTTCTAGCATACGAAACAAAAAAGGGCTTAAGAATTCCTTCGGAAGAAAGGAAACAATCACAGAAAATTCACATTTCATTGTAAGCAGCTTTATGCAACTTGCCCCAGGTGCTGGGGTTGTTGCCTGCAGATCTTTGTCTTGTTGTAACCTATACTAATGCGATATCACATTTTCAAGAAGTTCAAAATGTTAGCCCTTGGTTAAAACATCTTTCGATTACGTGGATAATTGTCAGCATGATGCTTTAGGTAGATAATCAGTGATGAGGGGGTTCACTCCCTATGGTTTTCTTGTGGAAAGTATTGAGTGACTTTTTGTTGCCTTTTTGCAGATTTCTTATACAGTGTATCTGTAGTGAACATGGATTTCTTCAAAGAATGGCCTGGGAGACTCTGTCAAACTTGGCAGAAAAGGTAAATCTACAAGGTTAACATTCTGTTTTTTTTGAAAGGATAGTGTTGTTTATGCATGATTTTCTTTTCATACAAACAGATGTTATTGGAGCCCATAGAATCATCCAATACCCAGATGTTCTTTCAGATGCTTCATTTCTTTTTGGATCACAAAGATCGATACCATGTCACAAATGGTAAGTTTTTTAAGAAAGAGTGTATAATTTTTTCTTAAATGAATTCCAAGTTGTTCATGTAAAATTTGCCCCCTTCCTATAAGAATTTTTGAAAAGATTTTGTGGTTGAGCAAAACCACACTCGTCCAAAGGGTGACTTTTGAAAGTTATCTTAGACCTGGTTCAGACACCGTACTTTTCATGTGCCGAACCTAATTGAATAAGTTCGACTTTGGAGGGACGATGGCGCGACATCTGATTCAGACGACGCACCGTGTGTCGAGCCTAAGTTAAGTTTGACAAAAGTTCGACACACTCTGTCGAACTTAACGCTTTTGCCGCACCAAACTAAAACTGCCGTACCAAATTGATTCAGACGCCGCTCTTTTGCCGTACTTAATTCATCAGTTAGGTTCGGCACATGTGTGGAGCGGCATCTGAACCGGGCCTTAATCATCCGTACAAGATTGTAATCTGGGACGACCAGACGACTGGGAATATTTTACCCTGCTTTACCTTTAACAAAAGTAACGGCTGTTAATAGTGCAAAACAGTAAATCTGAATCTGAATCTAAATCTCATTGTTGTTGCTAGCCATGGATGTCTTGGGCAAGTTGTGCACCCTTGAGGGAAATGATGAGGTCATAGAAGGTGGCCTTGAATCTGAAGCATATCAGTCCCTCATCAAAGTTCTGATTGTCAGTGATGTTCAGGTAATGTACGAAACTTAAAAAATTTCATTGGGCTGGTTACTAAAAAAGTGTTTAACAAAATGGTGTTCTAAGCCATTGTTTGTTTGTTGTTGAAGTCCAGTTCAGTCCTGGCTAGAAAGCCATTAACCTACTTAGAATACCCCACTTGTGATAAACAAAATGGGGGGCCACTTATTTTCTTACTTTAAGCTAGAACTTTGTTGAAAAATACCAACCTGTTTTGTTCAATGTCCAGTTTGGGTAACTTTCAAAATACGGTTGAGTCTGTCTAATTGGAGCTATTGAGGTGGGAAGTGAGGGTTTGTTTTGAAGAGAGTCAAAGATAATAGGACTACAAAAAGATGGACTGGAAAAAATAAGTTTGTTTTATAAGCTAATAGAAGAAGGTGTATGGCGGTTGTTGTTCACTGGGTTTTCCTTGCTTCTTTAATTTTTTGTATTCCACATGCAAGTATCCGGAAGTTTATTTATTTATTTATTTGTATATTTAGTTATTAAGAGTTACTTGTTCATTTGTAGAAATTCTTCTTTGCTACAGCACCTAAACAGCAATAAACAACAGCTGTGTAAATTTGCATAGTAGAAATTATTCTTGAAATTCCATGTCTGTTTCAGTTGGTGTTATCTTCGCTGGAATCATTGTACAATCTCTCGGGAGTTGGCCAGGTGACCTCAGATCACATTGCTGAGGTTCATCACAGTATAGGTAGGTGAATGGTTTGATGCATTTGTATGTTCACTGTAGATAAACTGTTTTAATCCTTGCTTGCTTTTTCCCTTTAGTGTTATCCTTATATTACTATGGGCTCTTCTTGTATGTGCACGTCAGTGTGGTCTTGTTTCTCCAGTTCCAGTTATTTTAAGGACTGTGTAGCATTGGTTTCTGGTAAAGCTTTTATCCATTGGATAATACAATATTTATTCTTGTTCTACTTATGCTTATCTGCTAAGTAGTGATTTATCAAGTGGATAGCATTGTCACCCTCGGCACAAGTCAGGTGTAGAATTTAAGCAATCAAGATCATTCTGATTGAATACCTTTAGAGCCTTTTAACTTCAAACAATGTTCATCATCATCATCATCATCTGTATAATAGTCTTACTGATCATCATCATCATCATTATTTTGTTTTGCCTTGTTTTAATGATTCTTAACAAAGGGCTTTTTACTGTGTGCAGATGTTTTGGTGTGTTTGGTGACTATGGATGCAGAATGCTTTGGTCCAGAAGCCTTATCAGAGGTGCAAATCTTGGAAAAAAGAGTGCCTGCTGCTGTTCAACCAGCCATGCAAGCTGCCATGCCATCCCCAGCAACACCCAAACCACAGTCATCTCCAATGCCAGGTTTTTACTTTAATTTTTCTTTAGTATTGCTGTACTTTAAAAAGTTATATCCAGGCTAGAAATAACCAAAGGTTAATGAGTGTAGGAGGTATGTTTAGAATGAGGAGGATAGGTTTAGTAGGGAGATTTTTGAAAGAGACATCATAAGCCTAGATGACAAAGCTCACTGAGGATCAATTGTGCCTTTTTCATAAATGTGTGAATAAATTACCCTTTTTAGCGAAACTCCATGTGATTTAAACTTTGCCTAGCATAACACACATTTTGTACATTCTTATAATTTTTGCTGGAAGTCCACAAAATGTGAAAATGCTCTGTGTCTTAGCAGCTCATGCATGCCCGTTTTTGACCAAGCTAATGATTATGATTACAGGCTTCAGTTAGTTGCCACCCAAAGCTGTAAGCATTAGAAATATAAATTATGTAATCTGAACAGTTGGTGCAGGGCATGTTATTAAAGGGATGTTCAATATTGCATTACAAACCAGAATTTCCAAACCAGCTGATTCACTGGTTGGGATAATCATACTTTTGAATACGTCTTAATCCAGAGTATCTTTTGTTGTTGCTTAGTTGTTCCACAGCAACCTAAGGAACCAGTCGTTCAGCACCAAGCACCACCATCTAGCCCTTCACCTGGTCCAATACGCAGCCCATCGCCCAGCCCGGTGCCAATCAAAACAACTGGAACTGAGATAGAACCAGAGACATTCACATATAACTGGTGAGTCTAAACGTCTGAACACAAGATGCAATGTATTAGTACCATCCATGTGTCCGTGCTGTTCCTGCATGTGCATGTAGGAGATAATACCTTCCCTTCTGCTTTTAGACAGTATTCTTAGTTCTGGTAACTTTTTATTTTTTACAATTCCATTACTGTATTACAGGTTACAAGGAACTTATGAGTCTTGTCCGGGCAGTTCTGTGTCCCGCATTGACATCTATGCTGACTACCTATCATCTTGTAGCAAGTTGGCCAGAATAGGAATTCTAAATGCAACTGCATTTAATAGAATTATCAAGTAAGTGTAATCTTCTGTGACTTAAGATAGTAATATTATTATAACACTATTCGCATTTTGATCACCAGGAGAGTTTAGGTGAGTTTGCCCCTTAGTGGTAATAAGAGATTAACAAAGCCTTTGTTCGGGGTAGTCAGAAAGTTTTGAAGTAGATGGCTGAGTTGTCAAAGTAAGTGGCCAGTCCAGGGATATTTTATTTAAAAAACACCATCTGTAAAGAAATTTCAAGCAGCGTAGCTGGCCAGTACTAGCCAAGTAGGCGGCGATTTTCACTGGCAGCCTGCTACTTTTGACAACCCTGCTTTCTTACCACCCAGGTAAAATATCCATTATTAACCTCTTTCAAAAGAAAGGGTGCCTTAATATAGGGAAGATTGGGGTGGATATAAAAGCTTTTTACAAGGATCTGTATGGAAAACCGTTGATCCATGACTGGGTAGGAAGAGTGGTAGCTTGTGTACAGCTGCCCCCTCCAAGAGTGGTTCTTCCCATACAAATCCGCTTAATTTTCGGCGGTCAAAGGACTCACCTCTTTTGAGATGTAAGCCTGAACATTTTGTACTTCAGCTATTTTTTCAAAAAAAGAATCATTTTTGTGTTATGTCATTAAATGTAAATTATTTAGGCAAAGTTATTTTCGAACCAATGCTGGTTAGCAGTTTTCCGTACTATGCTGGGGGCAGCATGATAGCTTCTAGCAGGGCACCTAGTGACTTGTATACACAGTTGTTTGCTTGCGGTTCTTCGCAAGGTGTCTTTGCTATAGCCTTGTTGCTTGCTTGCCATTTGTGTGCTGTGTTTTTCCCAACCCTCCCCCTTTTTTTCAGGGCAAGGTAAGTATTGGTTTGTGAGTATTCCCACTGAACAGTTCAGTGTGACAGTACCTAGTGCGGGCCGCTTGTAGGGTTACCATGGATACCTCCTTTCTCGTGCTCAAGCATTGGCTGGCTCCATCAACCTTGTGGGCACCAGCGCCCAATCTCATCTATTGGTGATGAGTTTAATAGAGAAAAATGATCATGTGAGAAAGTTTATCATGTGACCAGCTGTTGCAAAAGGCCAACTAAATATAATGAAGGCTACTGGTAACAAGTCACAGTAGCAGTGTCACAAAAACAATCAATGATACCTGTATACAGGTGCTACCTGTACCTAGATACAGTTACGCTGGATACCAGAAGTCTTCTTGCTCACCAGCAGTGAGAAGCATAAATATGCTGAGTGCAGGTCTTTCTTGGTGCTTTGCAGCTCACTTTTACGGCTTCGCCCTCAATTCCATCACCCCCAAAGAGAAAAAACCTAAGCATGAATGGTAAGATACAGTTGGCTTTGGGTAAAGAACTCAGTTTTCCTTTTGCAATTGCAGATTGGCTTTCCCTGATGGCCAGCTTCGAAGAGTGCAGTCAGGGGATAATGCGCAATATGTTCTAGCTGGGATAAAAAGAAGAGCTAACCCTCTCCCGGTCGAAACCCGTACTGACTCACCGGCTACAGCTAGACAACCTAGTACTGCAAGTCCCCATTCAGCAGGACACAGAGTATCCCCAGGACAACAAAGTATCTCTAGAACCCCTACCCTACCTGTTCAGAGTCAATTGCAGCCTGCATGGAATCCTCGGCAGCAAAATGCAGTTGCTGCACAGCCAACACCCGTGCAGTCCATGACAAGAACAGTTGAGCAGCGATCTTCACAGTTTGCAGGAGGAAGTCAGCAGCAGCAGCATCAACCTGGAATGGTTCGAGTGCCTAGAAGACCAAGCTTTTCCAACCAAGGAAACATGCCAACAACTCCTGATCAGGTATTTTTTTTTAACCCTGTAACTCTTAAGTCCCAAGCACGGGTTTAGCTACCTGCACGCTAGTTTGGAACACACATGTGTGCTAAAAAATATTTTGAAGATGAATAAAGGTTTCCCAAATTTTTCAGTGAAGTTTTGCTTTTCACAGTGGTTTAGGGAATTTTTTTCTACAATAGTATATAATCATCTCCTTAATTTCTTTTCGTTTTTTCAATGCATTTATCCTTTTGTGTAATCTCTTTATGTTGGTTTGCTTTTTTCACTTATTAGGGTATTAGACAGTATCCAGCAGCAACCATCCAGCAACAAGTGTCCCAAACAGCTACTGACAGTAGGCAGATGATGGTAGGGCAGATGCAGAGGACCATTGTTGCAACAGGCAATGAACAACCTCTTGAAAGAATCACAGCCATGCGTAGGGCAAGTGTGGAGGGAGTGAATCCACTGCCAGGCCAGAGTACACAATCTATCCAATATCAGAGTCAAGGGCAGGCAGTACAAAGAACTTCCTTACCTTCTCCAAGTCCAGGTCCACTCAGAGACGAAAAACAACAAACCACTTATCCTGCTCAGGGCATTCAGCCACAGACTGTGCCAATGTTGCCGGGTCAAAGGATGGCAGTGCCTGGTGCACAATTGATGGCAAAGCAATCTCAGGGTGGGACTGTTGGTATGACTGGAAATAGCCGTCCCCCACAGAACCCTTTGTCTAGGTCTCCACTTGTACCTCCTAGGCCTATACAACCCTCTACCGCTCAACCAGCTCAGACAACACCTCCAACAAGTTCAGTGCGAAGGCCGTCTTTAGCTGCAGAACCACCAGCAGGTTACCAGCAGTCACCACCTCCCTATCCTCAGCAGCATAACCTAAGACCTGCTCCGCCAGCATACAACAGCCGACCTACATACTACGGGAACTATCCACCTCTAGCCCCAAAGCCTGCCCCAGAAATGACTGTGCAGCTTTCACAGCAGTACCAAGCTAGAAAACAAATTCCCCCCAATACCGTTGCTATTGGAAGACATGCCAGGTCAGTTCCTAGCTCTCCACTCCAGCAGTCCGATGCTGGGAGGCAGAACTTCCAGCCACAAGTACCACCCCTCAACATAGCTCGGTCTCCACTTGTCCCTCCCAACTTGGCAAGTGGGCAGCCGTTTTCTCGTTCTCAGCAGGATGTACATGGTGGATTGACTCAGACTGCAGTTGGGCAGGACAGTAGACAATCAACCAGGTTAAAGTTCTTTTCTGTTTGTGAAACTCTTCGTTGTTGCAAGAGAGAATGATGGAAGAGAGAGGAAAATGCTTAGTCTAGCCCTTGGGATATGTGAATTTCACCAAAGTTATTTTTAGACCAATTTAATGCTTGAATTAATCAAAAGTTGGTTTTTGAAGAGTCAACAAACTTTTATTCAGTGTTGTCAAGAGAGAATTCAACAGTCACCATTACAATTTTCTGCATTGTTTGCTTTGAGGCTGTTGTGGGTGGACTTGATGACATTTCAAACGATCGATTAAATCGTGCAGACGTCTCTGGAATCAGACTTCCGTTTAATTACAACTCTAAAAATAACTGCAGTGAAATTCACTTAACCAGGCCAATGCCCTCTGTCCAATTATTCTCTCTCACTTGTTTTCATGTGATTCCACTCTTTTTCATTCGGACCACCTTCAAAGTAGTTATTAGTATGATCAATAAACCCCACTGTTCCCCAATAGCTAGGCTTGTTGCTACCTTGGTAAGCTTGTTCCATGTTCAACTTGGAATATAATCCCAATTTTTCGAACCCTCAGTTTGATTACTGATTAAACTGTTAAACCCTCAGCTAATTACCAATGATTCGGACCAAATCTAACTCCCTTCGCCAGTCAAACACTGTAATTTTACTCCAAGGTTTTCAAACCTCCTGATAATTCGAACCACTTTTCTTTTCCCAAGTTGTTGGAATAATCGGGATTCCACTGTGATGTTTTCGTTTTTGTTTTACCTTGGCTGTTTGTTTACTTTAGTAGTCTCAACTTGAAGTTTTCTTGAATAACACTACTTCTCACTTTCCCTCTCAGCAGTTGCTGCTGCTTTGTCACTTGTAACAGATATTTTGTTTTGTTATAGGCGACCAGAAGGCGTCGTTCTCATAGCACAGGAAGAACGAGCTGCGGACGTTGTTTCATCAGGGCTCTTAGATGGTGCAGAGGAGCAGCAAATTGTAGTGGTGGAAAATAAAAATAGAACAAACCACTCAGTATACCCTGAAAATGCACGGATAACTCATGATATCCCAACAAATCAAGTTGACATTGCACAACATAGTCGTGGTGAGTTATTTGCATCAAATGCCGGTAATCCTCAAAAGCCACAGGGAAGTCACCCCTCTAGCAATGGCAGTTTGAAAAGAGACTTGAATGCACACATGATGCATGATACGGTCGAGGAAAATCTCAATGGCCGAAGAGACAACAGCATCAGCGGTGACTGTGGTCCTGCAAAGAGACCGAGGCTGGAGAAGAGAATGTCATCGCTAGAAAATGAACTGGACAACTCGACATCTGTACCTTCTAGGACTGGCAGTCCAACGCATCTTGTCAATGGTGACCTCAAGGGAGATCCAAGAAATAAGCTCATGGATAAACTCTTGGACAAAGATCTTCGGTTGCCCCTGAATGGGGTTTGCGGTATTGATGCGTCTGACTTGGACCTTTTGGCTTCTGATGGAGAGAGACTCAGCGGCAGCAAGGCTTCTTCGCCAGATTTGTTCGGAAGTGAAACAAACTCGGATTTTGGGAAATATCTGGAGGAAAGTGATACTGACACGGGGCTGTTTAGTGATGTCCTACAAGGAGATCTTAGAATTGATCCAATGGAGAATGGCACTGAAGGAACTCACCCAGTACAATCGTCAAAGATGCCTACTTTTACTGAAGCACCTTTTCACGACAGTGGTAATGTGCTAAATTTAAAAGGAGCTTCTTCGGCCGTTTCAGAACAACAAGGTAAAATTCCAATTCCTTCCTCAGTTAGATCAGATACACAAAGACTTCACGAAGGAGCTGTCAATGTTGCTATCAGTAGGAATCCATCTGCCGTAAATTCAACTTGGAATGCTACAAACACTGTTCCTCAAACGTCAAAACTGGGATATGTTAATCAACGACTTGCTCCTGATGTTCAGCAGAGATTGCCTGGTTACTCCCAACAGGGTCTCGCGCCCCAGCATGTAAGTATTAGGCCGCATTTGGATAATATGAGCAGCACAGAGTCTCAGGGAACAACAGTCGCGAGTCAAAAGCGTGTTTTTCAACATCAGAATATTCAGTCTAACCTGCAGCGAGTGAGAACTGCTCAGGAACCCCCAGCTGTAATGAATCGATCTGGTGTGCTTCAAAATACATTGCCTGGGTCACACGGTCCCAGTACCATTAACAGTATAGCTCCTGGGATTCAAGGATCAGGCGTGCAGCAGCCTTTGTCAGTACGACCTCCTTTTCAAGGAGCGCCCTCGATTCAAACGTCTTTACCAAGAGTGAATGCTGATTCCAGTGGAGGAATTCAGTCAGTTGCTTGGGCACAGAGTGGAGTTCAACAACAGCTAGGTTTAATGGAAAGAAATCAGCAACGGGTTGGGCAGGTTGTTTTACAGCAGAATACAGTTTCTGGAGCTCAAGTACCTTCTGGACCTCCAAACGTTGCGCTACCTTCGGGGTACCAGCAAAAAACTGTGAATGTTTATCCAGACATAAGGACTCAAATTAGTGCCACTCCAGCTTCAGTCATGTATGACACTATTTCTGCATCTCAGAGTAGACAACAGCCTTCGCAATATCAGCAGACTGTGCAGCCTGGGGTGCAAAACCCAGTACCAGCGGCGTCCAATCCAGTCTTAGCTGGCTCACAGGAATTTCCTTCTACTCCACCTGCAAAGGGACACCTGTCTGACTCTGTTGTACCTCCAGTCATGTCATTTAAACCATTCAGATGTCGGTGGGCTACTTGCTTCAGGTAATGTGTTTATAGTGGTTAAACTGTTAAAGGTCATCTGTTAAATGAATCTAGGAACGCATGATTTATGATTCAATCATATTATTGTCTACTAGAATGTCTTGTTGGCATTGTCCAAGCTAGAAACTACAAGGGAAATGGGTACAAGCTTTCGGCGCAACGACTTCTGGGATCGTTTGGGCGGACAAGCGTTACTTGTGATTGGTTAATGGTTGCCTTGAATACCATCGACCAATCATAACATCGCTTGTCTACCCACACGATCCCCGAAATCACTGTACCCAAAGCTTGTACCCATTCTCCCTGAAGTTTCTGAAGAAGTTAATTTAAAAATATGTGGATTTCCGTTTCTTTTTTGAAAGTCATTTTTTAATAGATCTGTTTGCACTTTCCACCAAATACATGCATTTTGCCTTAGAACTTTTTCTTAAGACATGACTCTAACACGAGTACACTTAAAGTAATAAAATATGTAGTTTATTCCACGGTAACCTTGATTTATTTTTCTCCTTGACCAGCTCGTTTGATACAAGTAAAGATCTGTTCTCGCACGTGGTAAAAGAACATGTTCCTCGAGACAGCTTGGTTTTGTCGTGTATGTGGGAAGGATGTCCGCCTGTTCGCCGCTCACGTTCCTCCCTGCTTTTTCATTTGCAGGTTAGCAAGTCAATTGTTGATTATACGTGCGTTATTTACCAATTAATGTAGTAAAAAATGAAGAGTCGTTCTTATACTGGACCACTTGAAAATTACTAACGAATCTTATTACTGTTAAGTGAACAGTGAACAGACCTTATTCATGATACAATCGCCATCTTTGCGTAAGGACCGATGAAATAAAAGCAATGTCACGTGGTCTCTCTTGGGGAGCAAACAGATGATTAATTCTGCCAATACAAGAAATTGCCGTGGAACCTGTTTATTCTAGACAACAGAAAATACAGAACTTCTAAGTCTAAAAGACGATTACCTGTATTGCTAACTTTTTAATCATCAGTTTGCTCTTCATTGTTCTCTGCCTATAATCTGATTGTTTTAGCCGCTCTGTAACTAAGGCGCAGATGACGATGGATGTCAACTTGGCGGACTATCCAACGATTTGTCTTGCACAAACACTAGCGATATTTTTTGGCGCGTTAAGATATGCGTTTGTTATTCAAGAGGAAAAAATGATTCTATATTATCATTCCATTACTCCTGCTGGTGATGAAGGTATCACAAGGGGTGAAAAATGCAGCGACTTGATTTCTCGCAGTGCGGTAACTTTTTTGGCCCCGTGATGCAGTCACCCCCAGGTTGTGTGGCGTGTAGAGTTCTAGGGAAATAAATACTTTTGAACTATAATAAGGCATATTTTATTCCAGCAAAAGCACAGTGAGCCATCACCAGTTCCCAGTACTCTACCGCCACAGGCAACTCCAGCTCAGCACCAGCCTCCCCCGGTCCAGCCTCCTCCTCAGCCGCAGGCTCCGCCTCCAAATCAGAAAACGACCTTTGTACCAGCCTATCACTTTCTAGCTCGGATGCTTCAATCATTTCAGGTAAAAGCAGTTTAGAGAGGTTATTTGTTTAGGTTTATATGACGAACTTCAGTTTTCGTGAGCTCAAAAAGCAAGCATTGAGGCCCCATGTAACACGAACTAGGCGAGAGTGTTGTTCGTTGCTTGTTCCCTGTCCAATTTCATCTTTACACTCCCCTTCTAGGCAGTTAGTGGCAAACTTGAATTTTTGGAAGTGTTGCGAAAACTATCGTATGTTAAGTGTCATTTTGTGAGCTTTTTTTTTCTGTCTTTCGAATTTTCCGATTGACTTGACAACATTTGGCGACAGCAGGTGCTCCAACACCAAGGCAGCAGTTTGTATGTAATTCGTAATGTCTTATCATACTTGTTTACATTATTAGGGCGAGGAAGAGACACCACTGACTAAGACAGTAAGACTAACTGCAGCGCTGGTCCTTAGAAACGTCGCCCAGTACTCTGCTTTGGCGAGAAGGTACGTTTGTTTTCAGCAAGGGTTTAGCCAGAAAGGTGTCCAGCCGTCCTATGGACGCCCATTTTTGGAAGAATGCAAGGAAAATCCACCTAATCTCTTATAATTTTATGGGAAAACATGCCTTCTGGACGGCCAGTTTTCAGCCTGGCTCTCAGTATTGAGTGTCCCCCTTATTCATCCAATCTATATCATCCCCTAACAGACCCACTTGCTACCATGACAACTTAAAATGGAGTCTATTGCAAACTTTTCAGAGATGGATTTTAAGAGGGTGCGTTCATATGGGACGATCCAGATTAGGATCAGTGATCCGAGGTCACTCAGATCATGATACATCAAAGAAATCGTTTAATCCTTTCCCAGGTTGTATTCGTCAGTTCCTTTGACGTGCTATGATCCGAGTGACCTCGGATTACTGATCCTGATCCAAATCACCCCATTGGAATGCACCCTTAGGAGCCTTACCCGGCTACGGATCATGTTACGTTACCAGGACCGTTTCAGTTGAAGCATAATTGATGCATTGCGCAGATGCAGGTCGATCACTACGACCTAGAGATTCACTCTTACTCTCTTAGTCTTAAATTTGCCTTTTCACTTTGTCAATCGATATGACACAGAGGGTGCTGCTAACTCTCAGGTCTGGAGACCAAATCCTGTGATGTGACCTTTCAGCTGAAACCTTTTAGCAGTACTTTCACTTGAAAGCTATATGTTTTCTGTTTGTTTGCAATAGGGATCATATGTACAGTAAATGACCTAATAAATGCCCGGGGCTCTGTTTAATTTCAGGAGTCCAAGCGGGGGCGTTTTAATAGATAAGGGGCGTTTATTCTCATAACTGTAACAAGCTAAAGAAAACTAATACTGTATGCTTTCGGCAAAAATATCAAGAGAGTTAAAAAAGAGCGGAATATCCACTCCGTCCATTGATATGTCTTGGCCGTCTAGAAATCCATGTCGCCCTTTCAACTCTCAACAACGATGTCAGAATCCTCGCTCAGGGTTATTGTGTTGCCATCATTAGTCTATCCTTACTTTGATCTTGACATTGAACAAGATGAAATACGCAAACCCTGGTTAGTCAAACAGGAAACTGAATGAATTGCTCCTTTTTGCTAAGGGTAATTCTTACAGTGGGCATCTTTTAGACAGGGGGCGTTTGTTAGAGAGGGGCGTCTTATACAATTTTTACATCGTAGAGGGGGTGTTTATTTGGAAGTGGGCGTTTATTAGGTCATTTACGGTAATCTATTTAGACGATAACATCAATTTGTGTTTTCTGTACGCTTTTCTTATACATTTTGGGTGTACCCTGGAGAAATATTTTGTCAAAATCTTTAGTGACATCTTTAATGTGTTGACTCCATTTGCACCCTCTCTAACGGTCTTTTTTGTTCTACCTGCAGTATGCTGAGACGACACGAAAGCCATTTGTCAATTGTGGCCATGTCAAACTCAGAAGCTGCTCACGCTGTAGCCGCCTGTCTTTCGGAGTTGTCTCCTCACAGAAAAGCCTCTTCCAGTGACTCGAACACCTTCATTTGGGCGCTAGAGAGATAACAATTCTGGACTACTTATTGGGGAGTTTAAGCAACGACGTGTTTGAGCGACACACGTCAATCGGAAGTGGACGTTTTGCACTCTTCGGCCGTGATTTTTTTGAACAAATTCTCAGAGTTTAGCACAATAGACCTTTTTACCGATACGGCAGCCATATTGAATTTATTAGATTAAAGGAGTATTATGGGATGCTCAGGGGGCATGAGCACGATCAGTATACTCGCTCAGTATATATACGCGTGCTTTTCAGGCCAATTTTTCTTTACGTTTTCCTAGAAAAAGATTGTAATGGGAAAAAAAGATCGTTGTGCCTTGTTTGGATGTAATTATGAGCTTCTTTTTCCCGAGAAATATACAGTAAGGTTCTCTTTTTGCCCGAAAATTGCGCGTAAATACTGAGCGAGTGCTCCCTGGGCATCCCATAATACTCCTTAAATGCAATAAATTCAATATGGCCGCCGTATCGGTAAAAAGGTCTATTAGGAATCCAAATTTGGTAGCGTCAAGGCGTATTAAAAGAAAAAAAGGTTCACGTACGGTTGACCTGCGTCACTGAAAAACGTCACTGCTTAAACTCCCTAATCTCATCCTTCTAGAGAATAATATATAACAGAATATAACCCTTCATCTGGGCGCTAGACAGATGGCAGCGCGGAACTAGCCTCTTGGATCGATCTAGAGCATTATATATAACATATTATAGTCATAACTGTCTCTGTATAGACCATCTTCTTGTAACCCTTTTAATAACCTCTTCTAATGATTTGGACACATTCATCTTGATGCCCAAGAAGATCGATCTAAAAAATCAACGGGGTCTGACAAGCATACAATTTTGTCTGACACGTACACAATTTTGTACTCACTGGTCCCTAGTTAAGTCCAGAGAAACGGTAGGTAGCTATGGAAGGAAACTGAATATGTGTGGTCAGAATCGAACAACCTAAGGAATAGTTTAATTTCTTCGATTTTGACAGAGAACATTGTCATCAAAGCAATTGCTGATACGTCGTATTTTCTTTACATATGATTGAAGTGAGTGAGTCTTATGTCTTTTTTGTGCGCAGACGTTAGAAGGCTAGGCTGCTGAAAAATGTTAGTTGCCCAGTGATTCTTTAGTCGCCCCAGTTGTTATACTGGTTGGAAAATACTTTACATCTGATCACATGCAATAAGGGGGTTTCTTGTTTGTAAAAGGTTGGACATAGGTTGATAAGATAATGGTATACGTTAACACACAATCAGATGCACTTACCATAAGTACAATGAGCAGGGGCCCGTTTCTCGAAAGTCCCGATAATTAACGGGCCCGGTAAGCTGTCTCCGTTTACATTAAAAATCGAGGTTTCAATAGTTTTGCTTCTAACATGATAAAACTATCAGCTAATGAAACAAAATGGAGTAGTTTGCGAGCCAGGACCCGCGCTCTCATTCTTTATATTTCGATTTGAATATTTGATTTCGGGCCCGAAAAGTTACCGGGACTTTCGAGAAACGGGCCCCAGAACACTGAATTGCAAATTTATTCAAAGATCTTAAGCATGATTAATATAATTATTTTGTACAGTACTCTTGTGATAAAGATCTTAAACAGTGTTTCCACAAAACGAACCAAAATGGTGCGTTTATTACCAATCCGTGAAGGTTTATTGAGATACAGATTATCGAGTCAGTCTATGCCAAAATAAAATTGTCGGGATAATTGACGAACTGTTTTTACGGCCACTCTGTTAGTTTAGTTGGGCACTGAGTGCGAATTTGCTTGCTCATATTTTCAAAGCGGTTACACATTCATGTTTGTATATAATCATTTTGCCTTATTTATACGTGGTAACATAATGTACAGAGAGTACAAACGTTGTGCTTTTTTTCGATTAAGAACTTGTCGCCGGTTGTCGGATTTCCTGTAGCCTTATTTAGATATTTAAATACCGAAATCCTACACACGGTGTCAATTTTTTACGTCGTTCATGCCGTTACAGTGGAGTAGTATCGCTTTACTGAATAAAGTTTTTGTACCATCAAGGTTTGTGGTTTTGTTGTCAATTTCAATACGATTTGGAGTGAAATGGCTTTACTTTGTTTCTTTTCTGTTTTAATGATGAAAGAGGTAGAAATCTCCAAACTTTGTACATCCTTGGAGCCCACGATTGATTGGTTCATTCTTTTTGATTGAGCGAGTAAACTAGACTATCAAAACAGCGAGTTACTCTCTTAGTCCCCCACCCCTCCCTCCTCGACTAGCTGTTCCTAGTCTGTTTTCAAGGTTTCATTTAATGGGAACGGTGGATGTCATATAGTGGGATGGGAAGTCACCTGAACATTAGGCGTTTCTGGGGGAAAGATGGGAAGAGAGAAACGAGAAGGGGAGACAGCGACGAAAGACTTTCCCCCCTCTTTCTCTCTCGCCTCCCCTCTCCGCCCTCTAAAATCTCTTCTGCCCCAATCCCTAAGGAAGGCCTGATACTCAGGTTAGGTTAGACTTGCTACAAGACGACCTCTTGGCGAGCAGAGCATGCCTTTTTTGGCCTAGCCTGCGTGGCAGGCGCAAAGAGGGGAGGGGGAGGGAGAAAAGCACGAAAGAGGGGAAAGGGAAGGGAGCGCCCGCTATAAGAGCCGGTGTTTTTCTAATCCGCTCACCATTTTCTCAACTAATCCGATAATGTCACTGTCAATACGTGACCAATCAAAAGTACGGGGCTTCTCAGCATGGTCCGAACTTACTTACTTTGTTTACCGGAAATTGTCAAGTTGAGACGCTTTTTTAGAGTGATATCATAATCGAGCGAAATGAAACATTTTTACTGTTCTTGCTCCCGCAGCAAACACGACAAACATAGACTACGAGCAGTCTCTCATTTTTTTACTGCTCGCAGTCTACGGCAAACAATGATCAGTTTCGTGTGAATACACAAGACCATTTATCTTACAACCTCATCAAGCACCGTGATGGTCACAAAGAACAGAACACTGGCCAGCCTGAGACGCGAATAATGAAAGTAAAGGAGAATTATAGTTTAATACTAGGTATACCTATCGATAGAGTGCCAACGAGCAAATCATGCGTATTTTTTCTTAGGAATAAAATTCCTTTTTTTCCCATCTGACCGTTTCTTGGTCCCTTCCTGTTGCAAGGATTATTTTCTTGAAAAGTTCTCAGATTCAGTCTGGTGGCTTTACAAACCTGCTATGTAAAAGTGTGATGTGCCTTGAAAGAATAAAGTCAGCTTTGCAGAGGAAGCGATCGGGAATATTATTAAGTCCAGCTACAAATTTACTGTCGGTTCGGTTTCACATTGTTGATAAATATTTGCACAGTTTAATCATTTAAACCTCCTTTCAAATTTCCCGAGGCTTTTTGATATCGGATTGAAACTGAGAATGATTCGCCGGGCCATCTGAAATGTTTCCAAGGACATGCGATGTCCGGCACGTCGGTATTTAATTTTAGTTCATTATTTTTATACTGAACTCGGCCAGGTTTCCCAAAAAAATGGCGTTGTTTTCTTTTCCTTTGTCGTTCGCTTTAGGCTTGTAATTCGTTTTTGTTCTCATTGTTTTTGTTTGCTGGTTAGATTTTTTCCCCAACACCAGACTTTCCAACAGAAGCGACTGCATTCTTCGTGTCAAGCTTTCCTTATCCTTTCCTTTCCTTTTTTCAGCTCGATCGAGAATCTTTCTGCCTATTGCCCAGTCTTACGGTGAGGGTAAGAGGCGGAATGAGTTTGTGGAATGGCATGTGGCATGGCTTGCGGAATGACATAATTATGCGGAATTTAATATACGCAGCTGAATGATCCAAAGAAATAAATTAAACTGAAAGGAGCGCCCTTTTTGGCGCCAATCAATTTGCAAACGCAGCCGCTGTTTTAATGTTGCGGCAAAGCCAAAAAGATTCTTCGTGTATTGAAGAAAAGATGTTTTCGAAGGTCACGCTCCCTTCTACTTTAATTTTTTTCTGCAAAAGATGTTTGTACGATTAACTTTACAGTTTCTTGTTACCTATATTTGTATTCGAAACCGTGTGAGAAGTGTTTCTTTATGAGACTGTGGGTTACGTGATCGTGACATAATTGATTAATTCAGAGATGAATCGAATCTTGTATTTTGTTTTCTCAGTTGCGAACTTGAGACGTGCGAAACAGAAAAATCGACCAAAATCTTAATTTCGTGGCAAGAGTTGAAAAATCAGTTTCTTTCATTTTTGTTCATGGATAGCTTTTAGGTATATAAGAAACCTAACGTAGATTGTTCCCGCCGAAAGCCTTTCATTCGTGAGAAAGAATAGAAGATCGGTTTTCGATGTCCGAGTCTCGACTTCATTAATCTTTAACCTGAAATTCGCTAACATCAACTTTCCTCGCGTTCGCAAAAGAAGCTGGATGGAGAATTTTGGACACTTTCCACGAACAGAAAAATTCTTTTCCTTCCACTAGAAGATACTTTCTGGACAATAGGGAAGCTGGTCGTACCAAAGTAATTTAAAAAATGAGGGATAGGTTTCCAGGATAACAAAAATTTAAGTTCGTTACTCATATTCGACGGCAATATTTAACATGTGGTATAACTCCAAATTTAACACATACCTGGGAATTAGCTTGGGTAAGTGAAGGAAATCTTTGTAAGACACCATCGAAGTTCAAGAATTTTCATATAATCATGGTAGGCTGGCGGTAATTGTCTGTATTGTCGAAACACTTCCAATTTCGAAACGCACGTAAATAGATATTTACAGCCTAAAGGCTCGTTTTTCGTTCGTCTTGTAGGTTTTCCCTTTGCAAAATTGCTTTTTTCAATCAAAGAATGGGGTTAAAAGGTGAAACTGGGTCAATTTTAGCCATTTTGAAACACTGAACTTTACCTGCCGGCGACTCTGCGTGACAGTCTGTTCCGTGACTGCACGTGACACAACGCACGTTTGAAGAGACGGAGCTGTCAAAATGACAGTCACGAAATCAAAATAGTAACGCAATGTAATTCTTGATCGCAGGAGTAACATTTTCGGTGCCGACAGTATTTTGAAGAAGCAAATCGCACAAGTATTTATTTTGGTCACGCCTCACTATATTTACCGGACTTCAATGTTTTCGTTTGGAGGCTGCCTTCAGGAACCTTAGCCAATTCTCAGGTATGTTTTTATAGATAAATGTCTAAATGCGTGAACCAGTAAAGCAGTTGCTCACTCAAATTGGCGCCAAAAAAGGCGCGGCAATGACGCGCGCATGCCTTTCAGTTTAATTTATTTCTTTGTGCCAATTGCCTTAATTTACATTCCGCATAATTATGTCATTCCGCAAGCCATGCCACATGCCATTCCGCAAACTCATTCCTCCTTTTACCCTCACCGCCAGTCTTACGCGGCTCTATTCTGCTGCCGCCTCGCCATCCGAGCGTCTTCGCTCGGATGGCTCGTTGGCAATAAATATTGTGTTTACACCATACGAAGCGTGTTTTTCGGTACTCACACGATAACAACCTGTGGCAAACATTTGCTGGGATTCGCTGCCACGTGACAACCCAGATAACAGCGCAGCTGCTAGGGACACTACAAAAGAACGGCTAAGAAAACCTAAGTCAATGTAAGTCATAAAAAAACAGTAAGATTTTTGTTCAAGGCCTGGAAAGTTCTGATTTTCCAGCTTCCAAATAAAATTGAATCTTTCAGATATATACTTACAAATTTCATGCAAAACATTGATGCACTGAAAAGTATGTTGTTTTGATTGTTGTAAAGCGTTTCATTTCCAGTTCTCTCTCAACGGTCTTGGAAATGAACTTTTTTAGTAACTGCTGTTTTGTCAAAATTATGAAGAGGAATTCACGGTATAAAATCTATAATTTTCATATCGCAAATTCTGCGATATGCATCCTTGAGGTAGGTGACGTACCTTCTGGTGATGTGTTGGTCACAGTATCCACCAAATGTTTCTCAAAAAAAAAGTAAGGATAAAAAATTCGATATTTTGCACTACAGAAATTGCTTATTTTGGGTTTGCACAAGAAATGATAATATTTCCAGTGGGTGTGACAAAAATGGAATTTCCCGAGGGGAGGGGGGTCCATTTTGTGAGCCGATTTTGGAAAATCCAGACGGAAGGGTGGCATAGAAAAAATTCCTTCCGTGGTGGACTATGGATATTTTCTGGATGAACTTCGACCATCAAAGTGGTATCGATGTGGAAGAGAAAATCCTGTTTCGTATAGAAAGCCACGTTTTCGCGGGCGAAGAGTTTTAGAGCAAGTGAAGGTTCTACAAATTCCCATGACTAAAACCGATTTGTTTCTCAGAATATTTGAAGCAATTCCTGGAACTTAACGATAAATAAGTTTGATGTAAACCCAGTCACATAAACTTCACTCGCAGCACTTCACTTTCCAATGGAAACTACTAGTCAATAAAATTATAATGGTACAGTCCCTTCGGTATGGCTGTCAATTTTGGACTGGTTGTCTGACAACTTGAGGAACATGGGTTGTCATCCTTCTCGATCTATCACCAGTGCTTCAAACAGACTTTCTATTCTATTTCGGTTCGCTCAGCCGAATAGAAAACATTTCTGTTATAAGTAGGGGAAACAAATAATACAATAAATAATGGAGTGAGCCGCCAGCAATAATCGAGTTTATTTACAAGAATCTGAGACACGCTGAATACAGGAGAATATAAGAAAATGTCACACGCTATTTTAAAACAACATTATAAAACAATAAGGAAAAAACAGCCTTGAGTAAACTGGTCGGCGTCAAGTGTTGTTCGCCTAAAAGAAATACATTTTGTGCGAGGTGATGTACCCGGCCAGCTGCCCTTGCCAAAGCGTCGTTTAGTGGTCTCAGATCTCCGTAGCAGCTCTCCTTTCTTCCTCTCGTCTTTCCTGCGAGCCAGCAACCAGGATACCCCGTCGTACGAGGAAGAAATATCTCCAACAAAACCCAGAACACGAATATAAACATTGGGTTACAATGTCCTCAAAAAATAATTTCGCGTCCGCGTAACTTCGAGGGCGAAATTATTGAAGAAAACAATTTTTCACAACATTTGACATACTTTTATTTTTCGAGTTACTTATTTCTTTCCTCCAAATTCTAAGCATTTTCCTTATTTTTTTAAACAAGCGCCTTATTTTTTAAATTGAAATACCCTGCGAGCAGAGGCTACATTTTCGCGGTATGAGCTGGCGTGCGAAAAGTAGCCTCTGCTGCTCCTCTTGTGCCATGCCTTCTCTACGCAAGATAAACTTTGCTATATAACCAATAGCATACAAGTATGATCTATAACATCAAACCAAATGTGTCAAAGTTTATTTAGTTGTTTAGTTGAGTTAGTTTCAGTTAGAAAAAGAGATTCTAGAAGACTTGTAGTTCTAATGGCCCAGTTTCACACTTCCAGCTCATACCGCGAAAATGTAGCCTCTGCTCGCAGGGTAACCCTCGAATCGCAGCCATTTTAAACCGCGCGCGCCTGAGCCCACGTTCCCATTCGCTTGGCCTCTTGCGTTATTCAGTTCTGTTCACGCCACTAGGTCGCCAGTAGTTAGGTTGCTAGGTAGTTAGGTCAGCGGTCACGTGCCCTGCGCACGCGCTTTGTTCGTGCTCTCTCCCGAACCGCCATCTTGTGTTGCTGTCATTGAAATAAAGATTATCCAGCCTACGATCCTGGTTTAAAGGCTACGGTTCTCTTTAATATTGGCGAAGGGTAGACTGAAACTCTTTGACGTTCAACCCGTTTACCCTTGCTCATGGTGTGTGGTGTTTATGTGGTTGTATACTGACCTAGTTTCAGCATTCTCTGGTATGTCTATATTACAGCATTACAATTGTAAATGTTGCACTGATCTTGCCCTTGAATTGTGCAAATAGGCCAATATTACAGACGTAATAGTACACAATGCATACATATAGATAATACATAATAGTATATGTATATCTTGATTTGTGTTTCATAGGTTATTTGGTGATATTGAAGATCATGGTAAACAGACACACCTTCTGATATTGTAATATAATATTCAAGATGGATGAGACCTCAGTAAAGAGTCACTCTGATGCGCAGTTAGAAGGTCATGAGGTGACACATAAGCCTGATCTGAAACAAACAAAAAGCCCTTTAACTTGTGGATCTGGTGCTGAGAATGATGACAGTATTTCAACTCATTGGTATCACAACCTGTCTGCTGAGCAGAAGCAATTGCTGTTGGACAATCTGATAAAAATGGACAATAAAAGTAAAATTGACTACAACTCCAGTTATGTACAAAGAGTCAAATCTGGTATTGAATCCATCATGGCAGAGATGATAAAATATATGGAAACATGCCATGATTCTTTTGTTGGAAAATTCAGACTTATTTATGGTGGAAGCTTCTACAATCAAACAAAAATTGATAGACCCTGTGAATTTGATTTTGCAATAGAAGTTGATGCTTCACTGACAGTTCTGCAGCATCTGGGTGTCATTAAACTCACAGGCTCAGAAGACAATTTGATAACATTTAAATTGGAAGATATGTGTGTGGATGGATTTAAATCAGTGAATTTTTCTGCTGTCAAGCCTGGCTGGAAGCATGGTGGTTTTAACACCCCCTCATTCAGTGGATTTCGCAGGAGTGGCCCAGCCATGATGTATCAGTTTAAATATTGTGATCCAGAATGCCAGAATGAAGATTTAAATATAACAGTGGATGTGTTATTGATATCTCCCCATAATACGTCTCATGGCCATTTAGGTTGGGTGATAATGCAGCCATCTGGACTTGGTTGTTATGGACCTGTGTCTAGTCCATGTACAATTGAATGGCTGAGTGATTTCCAACAGGACTCCCCAGTCAAGACCATCATACGACTACTTAAGAAACTCAATTCAGCAGGCGAACCAACTGTAGATGATTTGTTATCAGACAGTCAATCGAATAAAGATGTGCCACCATTTAATTCAAATATGTCAGATACAACTTGTATACAACTTCTTCAGAAATCCGTTAGTGTTAAACATTTGTTGATATACAATTTACTTTATGGAGAAGTTAACCACAATGAAGTGTATCCTTCCCTACAGTATTTGTCTTCATATGTATTCCAAAGCATTGTGATGGTGCTATTCTTAGAATCAGCATCAGCTTATCCCAATGCCGTAACAAATGGTGTGTGGTGTGAAGAAGACATTCCTAGGGTCATTATTACTGTTTTGGACATTTTGCATACTGCATTTGAAATCAAAGACCAGCAGTCAAAAAATAATATTGAAGATGGCCCAGTAGCTTTGAACAACTTTGTACTGCACATTGCTGGAAAATATAAGAAATTTAAAAATAGTTTCAATGCTCTGCTCAATTCGCACACATATACAGCGAGTGCTCTTCTTTCCCATGTGAAATCTATGACACAAACTCTAAAACATATGACAGAAAGTACTGGGGGACCACTGGTAAATGCTGAGCTAGAAGATCAAACAAAAATATCTGCTGTCCATCTTGTAGACAAACCAAGACAACCAAAAGGATATATCAGACCCCAAATAATCAAAGATAAATGTTGGCATTTTTACTGTGAACTGATATAAGTCAAGTTATTAACCACTTCATTTTGTTATTGCAGAATGTTATTTGTACATTCACTGAAAACATCATTTGAAAGTTTTTAGGTTCAAACGTCAATAAATGTCATTTTGATTTTTTTTTCCTTTCTGAAGACTAGAAAATATTTAAATTTTGTGCATTCTGATGTTCACGGTATGCATACTGACAAATATCTGTATCTAGATAACTATATTCATTGTTTGGCACTTCAAAGGATGGCAAATGATGGTAAATGTAATGGATATTACAGTATGGTCATACATCCATCTTTTCCATTTGTGTCCTTCCAGCTTGTTTGTTTATAGGTAGAGTTTATGATGTATTTACATTACTCTGGAGCTGTGAGTATATTTCATCGGTGATTTTAATGTATTAACTTTGATAAGTTATGAGTATTAACACTGAATTCAAACTGATGTTTGTCATTGAGGGTAGATGAAATCACTCACATAACTGAATAAAACTGTATTTGCAAAACAACCTCTTTAGGTTGAGTCATTCATTGAATTACAAGGAAATAAGAGCCATTTAAGCATTAAGAGTGCCAGTGGATTTATACAACAACACATACCGTACACCCAGATAGCATAGAGAAATTTGGCCAATGTTGGGCCAATTTAACAGCTGTTGTTGGGCTAATGTGATTTTATTCATTGGCTTCACGTGGAGCCAACATGAAGTTAAATTACCACTAGCCCAACAACATTTTGCCACCAGTGAGCCACTTTTGGGCCACTGGTGTCATAAACATTCTGCTTATGCCATGTGTGGCCCATCGGTGGCACAGATGCCAACCACGGGCAACGTTGGGCCAACAACTTCATGCTCTCTGGGCAGGTATTGCTAGGTATATATGAAAAGCCAATGTGACATACTAATTCATTTTTGCCAAGTGCCTTTTGGTAAATTTTTTATACCAATTTGTTTGATGTCTTTTCATGTAAAATGCCAACTTGAAAGTGACAAGATTATGAAATTATGACCAACAGAATTAGTTGTTTAATTTTTTTCATACTAATTTATGAAAATTCATAATACAAGGTAGTTTTGATCAATTGATAGACATTTGGCAAAGAATATTTTTTATGTACATGCAGGTCATCTGAAGGTCAAAACTGCATTGTGATCTAAAATGCATTTGGCAATTTGCATAAAGCATTTAGCGAAAAACATGTTCTGGCTGACTTTCTCTCGAAAAGAATATAATTGAAAGGATTTGTATTTATGGGAAGCAGGAAAATACTAATTAAAATGTTTCTGGTTAAAGTATACAGAATAATGAATAAATATTAGATCTAAAACTGCGATGAGTAATTCACAGATAGCAATTCACAATTAACAGTTAGCAAATTGTAATCAGCAAATGACATTACAATTAGCCTGTTGCACTGGCTCTCCAGTTGTGAGGAAGAAAAATTGGATTGGTGAAAGAGAGAATTGAAACTAAGAACATTCAACTTGCGCCTTGTAATGTCTGTATCATTCCCGGGGGCAAGAAAATGCTGCCAAAAATTTCAGACAATTGTTGAAAGCAATCAATTTTTATCTCCAGACGAAAATAAACTGAAAAGATAATTCTTGATGAAACTTGGTTGTAAAAGTTTCTCGAAAGAATTGATATTTGCTAAGACTTACCGTAATAAACTCCTAACTGGATTGAAAGGTAGTCAGGTAGATCGACACGGAATTTTACGATACAGTAAATAGCCGCCTATATAATTTGAACTTAGTGATTAATTAAGAATACATTTCTTCTAAACTTTTATCGCTCAAACTCATCGTTCAGTCAATCAATCTTTATTTTGCCCCAATGAGATTCTATAAGAAGCTCTACTTAGTGTCTCTCTGGAGCAAGAGCTCTCCGTAAACTCTTCCGAACTTTTCAGGGAATGAGTTGCAGAGATGTGAGAATAAAGGGCCTGGGGCCCGTTTCTCGAAAGTCCCGATAATTAACGGGCCCGGTAAGCTGTCTCCTTTTACATTAAAGATCGAGGTTTCAATAGTTTTGCATCTAACACGATAAAACTGTCAGTTAATGAAACAAAATGGAGTAGTTTGCTAACCAGGACCCGCGCTCTTATTCTTTATATTTCGATTTGAATATTTGATTTCGGGCCCGTAAAGTTACCGGGACTTTCGAGAAACGGGCCCCTGGATAAATTAGAAGACCTAGAGCGGGATGTGTAATTGTATATCCTTAGACTGTAGCCTCACTTTTTCAGGCTACATTAGATTAACTTTTCTAAAACAACTGAGATACCACACGTACTCTGATTGGTCAATAGAGTTGCCAAATCTATGTTCTATTGTATCGGTAAACTCGAGGTTCCCTGATATAACAGCATTATGCGAGAATTAGAGAACGCAGAAAACTAGATAGATGCCTTTAAAAGTACAAACTCTGTAGGTAAAATTCAGGGTAGTCCCTTCAGGGGGCTTATAAAGCATCCCTGCTATCAGTAAGAGCCCTGAAGCTATTACCTAACATAGAATACACAAACTAGCAAGAACATACTGAACAGTTTCAGCTTTCGCCGGCTTAGATATCAACAACAGGAATATCTTTTCAGTTCAACATATACATGGAAATTTGCAAGGAAAATGGACCAGACGTTTGCCGCGCGCCGATTTCGATCACTTAGCAGAGGGATATTTTCACTTAAAATTCTCTAAACTTTTCACACCTAATAATTGTTATCTAGTGAATCAGCAGCCAACATGTTCTTGGCATAATAGCACCTCAGCATGTTAATAATTAACCTTATTAATTGACAGCATATTTCAACATTTTAAAGTTTTTCTTGCGGCCATTTCTTTGGCTATATGGCCGGTAACCGGTCAAGGTTTTCAAAACACTAAATGGCCGGCAGTCCCATATTCTCAGTAAATTTCACAAATCGAAAAAATTCAGCCGTTCTGAACTATCATGATCCATATCGTGATCCTGATCGTCATCCTGATCAAACCAGCCGGTTTTGTGGGATTTCTAATCTATATCATGTTTTTGTTGGTCTCGAGTCTTTGGATGTTCGTTAGGGACTTGTCAGAAATTAGCAGGGGGGAGGGGGTGGGAATTTTAAATTTGGGTTCGGAAATGAGGTGGCACATCCCTGCAAGACTCCCTGCAATGGGAGTGAAATTTGCTAACCCTCCCCTTGACCTTGGCCTAAAATATCATGACCCTCCCCCTCTTGTATAAATGATCAAATCTAGTTCTTGCAATACACTAGGGTGAGTCAGTATTATGAAAGCTCAAATATATATTTCTAATCTGTTCTTTGTAATGTTATATACATACATGAAAATGAATTATTTCATATATACTTCACATCACATACATTTTAGATGACAGCTTTAAGAGTCTGACTCTGATTCTGACAGCTGATCACTCGACTCTCCTATTTCTCCCAAGTTTTTTTTACAAAATAAAGAACTTCTTTTTTCTTCTGTGGGTGAACCTCTACATGATCACGGACACATATTTGCGTAACCCTCCCCCTTTTAACGGCCCATTTTTCATGACCCCTCCCTTTTCTGCAGTCTCAAAAAGTTGTGACCCTCCCTCTGTTTCCACCCCCCTCCCCCCTGCTAATTTCTGACAAGTCCCTTACTATTCTGTGTCCAAAGTATGGCGTGACAGGCGACGTTTGACGTCATAACATCTTGACCTTTCATGTAGCCTCCCCAAAGGACGTCTGCGGGGAGGCTACCTTTCATGCGGCCTCCGCGGAAAACTGGCGGGAAAAGTCTCTACGCGTTAGTTCCCTTCTGGAGCTGAGGTTGTTTTATCATAACGTCGACAAGATAGTGTTGAAGTGTATTTCAGCTCCAGAAGGGAACTATAAACGCGTAGAGACTTTGATCAGGATCACGACTTATGATAGTTCAGAACGGCTGATTTTTTTCGATTTGTGAAATTTACTGAGAATATGGGACTGCCGGCCATTTAGTCTTTTGAGAGGCCCTGCCAGGGGGGGCTCCCATGTCGCTCGTCTGAATTTTAAAACGTCTCGTGTCGGTGTTTATTGATGCCTCACGTCGCTGTCGGAAATTGAACGAAAATTCTTTGTCTTTGTCGGAATTTTAGAAAAGGGGGATGGCGATGCGTTGTAAAGAAACCATTACAGTTGTGCAATTTCTCAGTTAACCTTTCGCGTATAGAACACCGTCCTATACATCGCCATTCACAATTAAGGGTGTGTTCCTTTCGGTGAATCCAAAAACGTATTTTCGATCTCAAAACGGATTTCGCGTTCCTTTCGGCAAATCCAAATTCGGATTTTTGATCTGGTGAATCCTTTTTGAAAAAGGGTTCACATTGGATTTGAAATCCGAAGAATCCGAATCCAGATTAACGGATCAGTGATTGCTGTTCCATTCACAGTGGAGTCGAAATTAGTCAGATGATCCAGCTGTATTTTCAGTTGAAGTATTCCCGTATAGTTTCCTAATCGCTGCCATTTGCCGTAGAACATCTGAAAACACTAAAAGATTGTTCATAGTAGTACAGTAAAATATCCATGTGCTGACCATTTTTCGCTAAAGATTGCTTAAAAACACAAATAAGTAAAAGGGACAAATAACTGCTATCTTTCTACAAACTCGCTTGTGGACGCGATAGGCACTCGATCGTGTTACATAAAAAAACCGACCTACGAAACAGGATCAAACCAAGCCGACAACCTTTTAGATAATTTTCAACGTTAACACGCTCCTTTCTTGATCTGTTTATATTCCATCGTCGTTATTCGAACTGCCGACCACAAAATTCTGCACGGTATAATCGCATAATTTGTCAAACAGTAGAAAACATGTCATTTCTTGAGAGGCTCAGGCTGTCATGCATATTGCACGCGTTTGCGAAAGGTTACCAAGGTCACAAATCCAATTTCGGATTTCACGTTCCTTTCAACCGCGAAATCCAGCAAATCTCGGACCAGAAATCCGTTTTTGGATTCGCTTAAAGGAACACTGTCAACACACCCTAAGTGATCCACGTTCAACATTTTAAGACTAGCTGACCTGATAAATCGTACGTGAAGGCCGGTTAGCGGTGGTCTACTCTGTGAGAGCGGTTGGAAGGTCGGTGGTTAAGTTACCTGTTCCCTGGTATCTCCACCGTCGTCACCGTCCGACAGAGGTCGACAAGGATGTGAGAAGTTCAGGAACAAGCAAAGTCTTCACCATTTTTACAAAGACCATAATACACCTTGTTTATCCCCCAAAACTTTGCATAACCATTGTTTTCGATTTCTCTTAGGACGACTGTAATACCCTGGAGAATTTGGAAACAATGGTTATGCAAAATTCTGAGGGGGAAAACAAGGTGAATTATGGTCTATATGAAAGTAGTGATTACCAGAGATGAAAAGCGTGCGTAAAATTAAGCTATTTGACGGACAACCTGGTTTTTGTGCTGGGTTGCGTAAATAAAGACTACGCGACGGGCCAACGCGACGCGCTAAGGAGGGTCCACTTACGAGAGACAATCTCTGAAGCGCAAGGAAAATTGACGAAAATTACTTCTTCTTGGCATTCAGACTGGTGATAAATTAGCCAAACCACCGTTCTTTGTCGCATATTCTCGGCTTTGCCGTCACTGTCGCAATTTGGCCGAAGGAGGTTGTCGCTTGTCGCGATTTCATTTTAGGCTTTGTCGCTACTTTTTGGGTCATGTCGCTTGTCGGAATTTACCCTGGCAGGGCCTCTTTTGAAAACCTTGACCGGCAGTCGAGCTGAAAAAAGTTTTAAGTGTCACAAAACACGGTTTCGTCTTCTGAGCCCAGCGTAAACCAAACACTAGACTTGAGATCTGTAAAGCATTTCAGGATCGCTTGACTTTTCTAAATCGACATATGATAGTTTAGATTAGCTAGAATCTTTCGATTTTGTGAAATTTACTGATAATATAGGACTGCCGGCCATTTAGTGTTTTGAAAACCTTGACCGGTTACCGGCCACAAACAATTGTCAAAACGCTCAACGGATAGTTTTTACCAAAGCTTCAACTCTCTCTTTGCAAACCATTGAAAACTCCTCTCAAGACGGTATATGTTTTTGCGGAAAAGGAGGTCTTTTGAATATCGGCATTGCAGATGTCCGGGCAAGAATCGCAATCGCTTTGAATCGCTGCTCGGTGTATGGACAAATCCAGTATACAAAACCTCCTGAGCATCTCTGCCTGCTAAAAACGCTGTTACAGTTGGTTCCAGTTCGGGTTTTAAAGTGAAGTTGCTACATGATTGGAGTAATTTTGATCTTCCAAAGCTTATGCCAGTAGAACACATTTTCTTGATGCCTTCGTCATGTTTGTCTCTCACACTAGTACACGCCAGGATACACGCCAATAAGCTACTCATTACGGCTCAGCCAATCAGGAATTTGTGGACGCCAGCGTCCGCAGAAATGAATAAAAGGGGGTTCTTATGGTAGACGTCCCTTCCTCTCTCTACCCTACCCGTTTCGACGCCTGCTACGCAGGCTATTTTTGGCCGCGAAGCTTCCAATTCGCCGCTCAGTATCCGACCGTACGAAATCCGACGAAGGACTTTTTTGAAAGTCTGAGGCTAGGTGAGAAGAAATGGAAGAAAGCAGCGTCAAAAGGTTTTTTTTGTGGTCTGTACAGGAGACCTGACAACCATCACAAGTAGCACGCGAGAGCACGCGCGCAACTGTTTTGCCGCCAGAGAGGGTCGGGGAGAGAGATGACGAGATGTGATTAAGCCCGCGATTGTCCAGTGGTAACTCAAAGCAGAACAAAATGGCGGCTGGGTTTAGCGGAGCATTACAACTTACAGATCTGGACGATTTTATTACTCCTTCGCAGGTAAACGCTTATTATACATGTACAGTCGAAGTCGTAAGTGGTGATTCAACACAACTGTGTTATTTTTTCAACTGCAGGAATGCATTAAGCCTGTTAAAGTAGAGAAGAAACCAGGCCAGGTAAGATACGTCGTACTAAAAATTCAGTGATTTATGTTAATAACTTCCTAGGTAAAATGGTATAAACTGTGCCTGGCTGATATGGGGAGACCTTTCTAAATAATTTGAGACAAAAAAAGTGAACAAGCCAGATGCTGGAGGAAACTTGCAAATTAAAATGAAACTTTGAGTCTTTTCACAATGACAAAGGCTCCTAGTCCTGGTATCCTATATCTCCTCATCAGATGACGTGGTTGTGAGGTTCCGACAGAAGACCCACAATGGGCTATTGCACTTAATATCCGCACCCCTCGGTTGAGGAACCATGGAATTCTCCAGGGGTAAGTTATAAAAATTGAGGATTTCCTTTAAGGGTAGAGTAAAAAAATACTGAATTCTCTGGGGGTTTAGCTTTAATTTTCACGAAATTCTTCAGGGGTAAACCCATATTCTTCAGGGGTAAGCCCACATTTTATGGAAGTCTTCGGGGGTGAAAACAATTTTGCCAATCTTCAGGGTTAAGAAGAAACGGTAATTCCTCACCGGGGTGGGAGGGTCGGGTACGGATATTAAATGCAATAGCCCAATATTAATGAATAGCCCCCCCATAGATTCTATTACAGAATTCATTATCTATTTGAAAATTAACTCCTTCAGCCATTGCTAAGATCAGCTTCCTTTCTTCATTCCTGTGTACATTATGAACTTACAGTGAATTCACTCGTGAGGTATATTTAGTAAAAATTTCTGTCTATTATTGTGAACCTGGTTGATTGTGATGTATATGTCCTATATTTACAGAGTAAGAGAACTTCTTACTTCCCTTTGTACAGTGGACAAAATAGTTTAATAATTAGTTGTCTTTTAAATTGTAGCCATCTAGTGAATTTTTCATTGCCTGGATCATATACTTCATACTTGAAGACATTTAATGCGCTTTGATTTTATTTACCATCCATGGCAGTTGGCAAAGATCAAGATTGAAGATGATGGTAGTTATGTTCAGTTGTCAGAGGTAAAAATATCTACCTTTCTCTCCTTTAGGTACGTGCTTTAAAAGTAATTTTTCAAAAAATATGCTGTGACTGATCAGATATAGTTCATAATAATTATGAACTATTATTGTGAACCTGGTTGATTGTGATGTATATGTCCTATATTTACAGATTAAGAGAACTTCTTACTTCCCTTTGTACAGTGGACAAAATAGTTTAATAATTAGTTGTCTTTTAAATTGTAGCCATCTAGTGAATTTTTCATTGCCTGGATCATATACTTCATGTTAAGATCTGAATGCTCATAAAAACTGTTTCTTCTTAGGGTGGTGAAAAAACCAAGCTTCAAAGAGCCCAGATTACCTTGAATGACTGTTTGGCCTGTAGGTATGTAGTATTGTATTAAGAAAAAGAATTGCCTCAAGAAAAAATATTAAAACTGTAGTGAAATGATTGGATTTTGTCTCAAACAGGGTCATGGTTTGAAAGCCTCACTAACACACTCCAACCCATTACTTCTCTTCAGTGCCCCTTCCCCTCTTCCTAGAACCTGGTATGCAGTCATCATTCAACTTCTAATCTAACACTTGTATATAAAATTGTCTGTTTCTAGTGGCTGCATAACATCTGCAGAGAGTGTTCTGATCACACAGCAGAGCCAGGAGGAGTTGTACAAAATTATAGCAAACAACCAGAAACTTGCCAAGGTACTTTATGGTGGATAAACAACAAGAAATATTCAAAAAGTGAAAGGACTTGTTTTTGCCTCATGGATTCAAGAGCAAATTATTGGAAGATCTGCCCCCCAAAAAATTTTTTTGAGATTTAGGAGGTATTGAAACTCATGACTGAGTTCTCTGCAAAAAGAGCTGCCAAAGGCACAGGTTTTAAAAATTGTTGTCTTCTTAGGCTATTTTGCTTAAAACAGAGCAGTAAATCAAGTTTCCCTTACAATATATGGGTTGTTAAATGAAACCTACAAACTGGGTCTTTTGATTATTTTGCACAAGAGTCATCTCTGTACCGAATGATAAAAGAAAACTCGGCAAATTGCAGCATTTTAGTAAGAGCAGGGGTGTAGCTAAG